TACTAATATCAGGAAAGAGAAATGATTTGGGGCTTTGCTGTTTAGGGCTTGGAGCCCAAATCGCCTTCTAGTTCAGCACTGTGCCTTTATCGCTGGCCAGTCAAACACTTCTGGGAAGCATGAAAACAAGCCATGAAGGCAACATTATTCCCCTGTGTTTATCCTAAATAGGGATGGGTGGTTACAATGCTGCTCCCATTAGAATTGCATGGGACTTTTAAGTTATTCTAGGTGGAAGCCCCAAGCAGCTGGCCTGCCTGATGCTGCCCTCTGATTCTCCTCCCCCTCCTCCTTTTTCCTCTCCATTGCAAACAAAAATGATCTCTGGGAATGGAAGGGGGCAGCGGACAAGACCTCTCCCACAGATGCATGGAGAGCTATCTCTTCCTGCTCAGGATTTGGGGCGTCAAGTTGCAGAATTCCCAGTAGGAACTCCCAAATGTCGTTAGTTGTTAAGGAGCTTCATCAAGAACTGATTTGGGCCTCATCTAAGGCACTGCCATCTCTCCCCCAAGAAAAGGTGTCCCTTCCTTTGAGAAGGTGGGGTGTTAACAGGCACCCAAGGGCCGTGAGCAAATTTGAGGTGGGGGTCCAGCTTGCAGCAGGCTATGCCCTCACCTTGCACCTGTGCACAGAAAAGTACAGGGATGCATGTGTTAATGAGAGCTCACTTCATCCTAAAGGTAAGGGGGCACATTGCCTCTGAGTACCAGGCATTTAGTTTCTATGACTGATAGGGCTCACCGGGATGAAACAGAGCTTTAGGCAGCTGGAGCTGATGGAATGTGTGATGGGGATGGCTTAGCAAGGTGGCTTGGATTTGTTGTAACCCCCTTGCTTTGGGGAGGCAGTGGCAATCCCTGTAATTCCTATCGGTTCATTCACTCGGCTTAGTTTTCTTTTCTTCCTGCCTGCCCTCCCCCTGCGAGCAGTTAAAACAAATTCTGTCTGAGTTATGAAGCTCTTGTTTTTAATTAAAATGCAGAAATAGGATCTGGGCTATGTGTAATAAAGAAGAGAGGATCTATTAAGGTGGTTACTAAAAGTGAGCTAATTTTTTTAAAGCAAAACAAGAAAACAGGAGCAGGAAGTTTTGATGAAAGGCAAGCAAAGGTTTGGCAGCTCAATCCAGGGCGGACTGGAATTGGCTGGTGTCCACTTGGAATCGGTTTCCTAATTAACTCGAATTCTCTTTTCACTTGTGCATTTTTGGAATGGATAGTTGCTGCTCTTCTCCCCGTCCTCAAAGCCATTTGCTTATTGTGAGTCCTGGTCCAGAAGAGGTGCAAGCCAGAAAGCAAAGGAAGTAAATGAAGAAGACCATTTTGAGTTTTCAAGGGTATTGGATATGCTTTCAATACCCCTTTCCAAGCGGCACATTCCACTGCAGGAACTTCATTAACTCACTCATTAGTGTTATCTGATTCACTGCTGCAGCCTCTCATCGGAACGTGGAACAGCAGCTGGAGGAAGAAATCAGCTCAAGCTAATGTATATGTTAATAACACTAATGTTTGTAGCATTTGGTGTTAGTAAAAGAGAGGCAGTAAAAAATCTACAGTGTATCCCTCCAACGAAGAGTGGCGGAGAGGGAGAGAAATATCCTCGCAGCCATAAAAGTTACCAGCTCAGAACATTTATAGTTGGTATTTATAGATTAGTGGAGTATGTTAGAAATTCCGAGAGTACAATACCCACATGAAGAGCCACACCATGAATTATTCAATGAGATGGATTGCAAACCAGTCTAGTGACAAACAAAACAAAGCTGATGTTTCACAGAGTTGAAATGAACTTGCCCCTATGACCCTGCCAACCCTCCTTAGTCAGTAGACTTCAGCCAGCAAAAACTTCATATGCTTTATGGTTCCTTGATCTTTTTCCTTTAGAAACTCCTAGAATCTTCTGGTCTTTAAGTTAATACTTGAAGAATCTCAGTGGAAATTCAAGTAGAATCAAATGAATTAGCAGCCCTGCTTTTTACAGCGGTAAAGGTAAAGGGACCCCTGACCATTAGGTCCAGTCGCAGTCGACTCTGGGGTTGCGGTGCTCATCTTGCTTTATAGGCCGAGGGAGCCGGCGTACAGCTTCCGTCATGTGGCCAGCATGACTAAACCACTTCTGGCGAACCAGAACAGTGCACAGAAATGCCGTTTACCTTCCTGCTGGAGCGGTACCTATTTATCTACTTGCACTTTGATGTGCTTTCAAACTGCTAGGTTGTCAGGAGCAGGGACCGAGCAACAGGAGCTCGCCCCGTTGCGGGGATTCGAACTGCCGACCTTTTGATTGGCAAGCCCTGGGCTCTGTGGTTTAACCCACAGTGCCACCCTCGTCCCTTTTACAGCGGTAGGAATAAGTAAATTTGCTTTGAAGTGTTGCATTAACTCAGCCTTCGCCAATCTAGAGCTCCCAATATTTTAAGTTGGAGCCCTAGATAGAATGGTCAGCAATTGGGGATGATGGAAGCTGTAGTCCAAACCATCTTGAGGGCCGCTAGGTTGGGAGAAAGCTGTATTAACCAATATGCACTATCCAATTTTTCAGAGGCACACTTACTCCAATTATAAGCGTAAGCCAAGCTCCCTTGAATGGAGGGAGTGTGACTTCCTGCCACCATCTACTGACAGGTGATAGCACTACTTGTAATAGACTGTCAAGTGGGATGTTGATTTACAAAAGAGCTTCTATTGATCTGTGATATAAATGATTACAGAAAAAACTCTTGCAGGATCTCCTCTTGACTTTGTCAAAGGCAAACTGTTACCCGCTTCTGTTCCAGAAATCCCATCTAGGCACCAAAGCCTTACTTTGACATATCCCCACAAGCAACTTATGGAACACCCTTGAGTTGTTTTGAAATGTGTGTGTGATTCAGGCTACCAGCTTGCCTGGGAGTGAGTCCCACTGAGTACAGTAGGGGTTACGTCTGAGTAAACTTGCCTAGGGCTGCACTGCCAAATTCATTTGCTAAAAATTCCACGCTGAACTCAAACCAATGCCCTAGATAAAATTTTGGTTTTTTGATATCTTCATATTTCTGAATGTATCTGCTATAGCACTTGGCTTGAGTGATGCTAATCCCCCCCCCCCCCCGTCAACTGCCTCACCCTGCAGACAGGCTTCTGTGCAACCATATGCAGCATGACTGGGAGCCTGTCTATTCAATCTGTTAAAGCCTATGGCACTAACCATTAATCCCCATGCTGTAGCCCAAAGTTCTGACTAAAACAATAGCGTATTCTCCCCCTGTTTTTCCCAGCTTTAATTTTAATCACATGTACTTAGGCTTGCTTACAGAAGGACAAAGACCTGCCCTCTTGAGCTTCACAAAGCAATATGCATTTTGACATTGCTATAACACTAATAAATAATATTTTTATTAATAATAAATAGTAATATTTCAATATCTGAAAGGGTGGTACCTTGGTTCTCAAACTTAATCCGTTCCGGAAGTCTGTTCCAAAACCAAAGTGTTCCAAAACTAAGGTGTGTTTTCCCATAGAAAGTAATGCAAAACAGATTAATCCGTTTCAGACTTTTAAAAACAACACCTAAAACAGCAATTTAACATGAATTTTACTATCTAATGAGACCATTGATCCATAAAATGAATGCAATTATCAATGTACTATACTATAAAATAAATAAGACAGTATTGTAGATGATAAGAATTAAAATTATTATTTTTTCTTGCCTGCACTGATGATAGTCATTGTTTGGATGGGGGGCTTTTATCCATTTCTGCAGGCACACAATCAGACAATCAGTAGTAGCTGAACTGGGTTCCACACAGTCACAAAAACAAATTAACCGAAAAGGCCTCAAAAACAAAAATGCAAAATAAATAGCAAAAACAAAAACTCCAAGCTCCAAGCCGTTCCGGAAGTCTGTTTCACTTCTGAAATGTTTGAAAACCAAGGCGCAGCTTCTGATTGGTGCAGGTGCCCCGGAAACAATAGCCGACAGCCACATCGGGCGTTTGGCTTCCCAAAAACATTTGAAAACCAGAACACTTCTGGGTTTTCGGCGTTTGAGAACCAAGGCGTTTGAGAACCAAGGTACCACTGTACCACATATATGAAACACAGAATTAACCATTGTGTAATATCCAGTGTATTAAGGCTATGCATGCATTATTGGCTTAAAATGCAGCAAGGTCATTTTTTTCTTGCTGATTTTCATGTTGAATTTGCCTGTCATGGTAGTCATCAGCATGGGTTGATGTGTATAGAAGTGACCCGCTGTTTGTGCATATCAGTGGATGGAGACTGGGCAGTGATTTCTTTGCTTGAGGGAATCGCCTGGTTGCTTTTCCTGCCCCATCTCCGCTAACAGAAATCTAGAAAAAAAGGACAGTTTCCAAAATGTACTGTATACACCTGGGATTCAGTGTGATTTGAATAAGGATTGAATTACATTGATGTTGGCTTAGGGAAAACCCCCATCAAAATGCAGTATTTCACCAGAAACTCCGAGATAACTCTGGATCCTGGGTAACATCATGTGTACATGGATTTTAAAAAATGAGCAGTGTATGCACAGTGGAGTCAGAGTAAATGACCAGGTGTACACAGCCTAAGAGGGACTGCCCGTCTTAGAGTAGACAGTAAAAAATGGAGGTACTCATGCTGATAAAACAACATGACTGACTTGATCTAATCAGTGCCGAAGATGTGTTACTGAGCTGGATGAGCCATTGATTTGACACCCCCCGGTTTCACATCAGTGAATAACATTTGGAGTCGTGCCCTTGAAAGAGAACAGCAGAACTCTGATAAGTTGTATGCTAAGATGGACAATGGGTATTCCAAACTGCTGGAATGTATTGCACTGTCTGGATTGAAATTTCAGTGGAGAGCTAAATGTGTTCTACTCTGGTAATTCCTTCCATCATGGTAAGCCACTTGAAGTTGCAGAAGAGAAAACAGTAGCATTGCCTTCTAAAGTCCCAGCATGACTTCTTCTTTCTCACTTGGCATTCTTTTCACCCATTGTCAGCTGGGAAAGCTCAGTGGGTGGAACATGAGACTCTTACTCTCAGGTTCGTGGGTTCGAGCCCTATATTGGGCAAAAGTTTCCTGCATTGCAGGGGGTTGGACTAGATGACCCTTGTGGTCCCAGATTATGATTTTTTCTTAGCTTCTCTACCTCTGCTTTGGTATCTGCTCATCTCCCTAGAGACCACTTTATCCACCTCCCTAGCCAGAGTCTGGTGCTTCTTTAAATCCCTGTTCTATGCACCTTCAGTCAAACTCTTCAGCCTTCTGTTGAGGATGCAGAACAGAGAGCAGGCATTGGGCTTCTATGACCAGGCTTCTATTCTTTCTCAACCTAGGTCCCAATTCAGCAAGCACTTGGAACAATCTGCCCCTTACCTCCTCTACTGTGGTTTGTAACAGAGCAAACCGCTTTGTAAGCACGCTTCAAGTACCAATCAACTTATTGGGGCTGGAAGTACACTGTCAAAGGAGGTCACAGGGATTGCCAACCAGCTGATTGGCAGTTATGGCAAGCAACTTTAAACATTGACAGATGTCAGTCACCTGACATCATTATGACATAAGGTGATTGACAGGTGGACAGGACCACTCGCCTGTCAAAGTTGACTGAAGGGTTGAAGAATGAGAGGTTCAATCTGCTGGACAGATCCATTTCCCCAGTTCTGTCCTACAGCATTGTTTTGACACAACTCACCTGTGGAATAGATGGTGGGTTGTTGTTTTTTTCACCATGGTGACTTGACTATGCACTGCCCTTAAGTTCAACCCAGCCTCTCTTCCATGGGGGTTAGGAGATACTCTGCTACAGGTCTGTGTTAAGATCCCTGTCAGGGAGCTATATGCATATGGCCCTGTTTAATAGTCTCAATATATTATCAAGATTTCACAGAGCGCTTCTGCAATTTGATTTGGGTCAGTATAAGAGACCTCCATTTTCAGAGGCAGTCTGGGGCAATAAAGAAAGTGTTAAGAGTTGGGGTGAGGCCCTGGGTTCAAATCTTATTCAAGCAAGAAACCTACTGCTGATCTACTACTTAGGATTCTTGGAATGTATAATACAACAAAGGAGACATGTATGGCTCCCTGAGCTTCTAGAAGGAAAAGCATGATAAAAATGTTATAAATTATAGATTGGGAGCATAGAGGTTTAGAGCTACAGTATTTTGGGGCCATCAGCTGCCCATTGTTCCCACAACCGGCATATGTGTAAATAAATGGATGTTACATAAATTCTGTATAAGGAGACATGGCATGGCATGTTCTTCACGTATCTCCTATATTCACGTTGAAAATGTTGACTAGTTTTGCAGTGCACAGGTGAAGATCCATGTGAATCCTCTTTCTCTCCAGCTTTCCCTTTCTGCAGTCAGTATTGGCACTTTTTCACCCTACCCAGCTGTTCCTGTCACCCATACATTCCTAAAAGTAGACAAAAACAGGGCAGAACATGAGATTGAACAACATGAGCCTTCCTTTGGCCCTTGGTTTCTCTCTATTCCAATGGAATCTATGCTTGTAAAGCTTCCATGGGGAAATGGGAGAGAGCATCTCATCGCTGCATGAGAAACATGGGCTTGTCAAAAGATGTAATACTCATGAGTTAGAGCAGTGGAAACTTAGCTCTCAGTAATGGGATTGTCATATTATTATTATTATACACCTGAATTCTCTTTTCCTGTCCATAGTGTCTGCTAAGCACCAATATAATTTCAATTAAATTTTGCATCAGATAAAAGGCCTTCAGCTAATTTCATGTGAGTTAATAAGTAATTCTTCTTTCCAAACTGCATTTTCAGATGTCTTATCTGGAATTCTGATCTCTGCCATGCACACTCTGTATTCTGAACATCAATTCTGTGCATTGAACTGTTGCAGAGTATTATTCTGTCATTAACTCCTACTTGGAGGTGTGTAGAGAACTCTGTCCAGCTAGTACTTTTCCTCCCTGAATTTCTGTGTGGTGTATTTGGCTTTGCAGATACTGTTAATATGTGCTCTTAGTTGGTTTAGTCATGGTCTGTTTATCTACATACAGCGTTTCCCACAAACAAATAAATGTTTGCTCTAAGCACAGAAAACAAGCAAAGTCTAAATGCAATAACCACGGTGCATAATAAAAACCATAATATCTGTGCAACATACTGAGCATTCAACAATTAATAGTTCATTTTAAATATATCAAAAGATCAAGTGCATCTAAAGCTTACCAATAGGCCAATTATTCAGTACATCCCCAAATAGTCCCAAAGCTTATGGCAATAGTGCTTAGCAACCCCCAGTCCATTTTTATATCTAGACCCAGAAGGTCAGAACCAGCATTACCATTTCATCTAGAAGCAGCTCCCTTGTAAAGGCTCCTAAGGCTGGTAGATGGGGCAAAGCAAGTAGAAACTCCAGGCATCAAAAGCAAACACTACCCCTCTCTCTCCCTCTCCCTCCCTCCCTCTCTCTCTCTCTCTCTCTCTCCCCTGAGTAAATTCTGGTGCTTGGGATTTATTTTAATACATGGAGCAAGCCCACAGAGACTAGAAAATCGTGATCTTGTCTTTACAACGCACTTAACTTGTGCAGTCTATATATTACGTGTGTATATGCTTTCTTGAAGTGTCAAGGATAACAAATTATGTTTTTTTTTAATAATAAAAAAACACAATAAAACATAGGCATCAAGAGTTGAGAATGGGAAGTGAAGCATGAACAACATTTAGATAAGTTTTGCTAGAGCTCATTGGATATGGGATCCCAGCAGGAAAAGCATAACCCATAAATAAAAAATTATGGCACTGACTTAGTAGCAGCAGCAGCACAATGTTCCACTGTCAAAGTAGAAACTCATTAAGTGCCTCTTGCCAGTTTTCCTTAGGACATCCTAGCTTGCTTGCCCTTCTATAAAATTTTCTTAGTATCTTGGTCTTATTAATTTTATACCTTTTCTCCAAAAAAACCTGCAATAAAAGCCTATTTTGAAATTCATTGCAATATTTACAGAAGCGTCAAAACTCTCTCAGCTTTTTAACTGGAGTTATCACCTGCCTTTTATTTCCTGGTGTTAAAGTATTAGAGCATTGGCAATTCTAAATCTGCATATATTCATAGGAGTATATATACTGAAAGAACAGTCTTTTAAAAAATAATACCTGGAGAGGTAGCAGTACTGATTCTTTTAATACACTTGAGACAACCCAATTTGATTTATTTATTTATTTATATGTAAGGGCTGTGGCTAAAGGGAAGTAGAGTCCAAAATATCTGGAGGACACCAGGTTGGCAAAGGCTGAATTACATATTATGAATAATTTCCAGCTCTTTGGCCTGGAATCCTGTTTTGCCTTAACCTTGGCATGCAGAGGCCTTCATATATCCTTAACAGCTTCATATAGCCTTCAAGTTGGAGGAGGAGCCCTTGGTGCTTTTAATCTGTTCTAACATTTATATTGCATTTTATGTCTCTCTGTGTGTTTATTTTAGTATTCTAGATTTAGCATTTTAGATTGTAAAACACCTTGGCAGAAAGGTAGGCATGTAAATAACCCAAAAAAAGCAAAACAAAAACTTGCAAAGGAGGCAACTCATTATTATCAAATTAAGTTTCCAGTTTCCATTGATTTCCCATGAGTTCTATTCACGTCACCACTGTTTCCATAAAAGTAAGTTAATTGTAAGGTTAAAAAAGTTGTGTGGTGCACGTGCAGTTATGGTGCTGTATAAAAATAATAAATAATAGCTGTTAAGTAACTAGGCTGCCTGGCTGGGAATGCACACAAGCCTCCCATGGATAGCTTGATTAGATTCCTTTTCCTCTGTGGATGTTGCTATGGTTTCAAGTTTGCGCTCTCAATACATTTCTGCCTTGGGCCACATAATGTTTAACCTGAAATCACCTGCACTGGTACAAGATCTCAGAGTACCTTTACATGTTCTCTGAAGAAATTGGGACAAACCAGGTCCAAGTAACCCAAACCTAGCAAAGTGACTCCGAGGAAGGTTGCAATGTTAACAGTGATCCCCAGCACTAGGTATTCCTGACCTGTATTGACAGAGCATGCAATTTATTGACCCTCCCTTAGAGCTCTGCCCTGGGTCACATGACCTGGTCACATGACCTGGGCAGTTATTTAGGCCTTTAGTTTTGAGTTCTAGATTCTTCTATAAAACTGCTCCTCGTTCATGGTGCCCAGAAACATTACATGGTGTCAGAAAGAGAGAATGAGGAGTAAATTGCATTGACCAGCAGAGGTTTTCTGGCCAAAGGGCTACAAGCAAAAGATAAGAAACTGTGAGAGCCACGCCCAGAGAAAGCATTAGGTAAGTGTTGCTAAATATTTGCTTAAATGGAAAATTTTCAACCTTTATTCCTCAAGGGGATATTATTGCAGAAAACAGGAGGACGTTAAGACAAAGGTTTGAACTGTACAGACTTGGCTTGCGGTCGTTCAGAAGCAGTGATCTTGTGAACATCCTGGGTCTAAGCACAGGTGGTCTAGAATGAACACATTATCAGGCTGTGAGAATGGTAAATAATTGCATTTCTTCTGTGATTATTGGTTGTCTGTAAGCTCATGATGTGGAAACTCTGGAGGTGCTGTCTGGCTTCTGCTTGGTTATAGAGCATGGGCAAAATGGCCTCTCCTCTTGACTGAATGCTACAGGTGAGCAGGTTGCCATGTAGTTCTGTGTCTGGTGAGTTTACTTACGAGAACATGCCACGGGCAAATGACTATCGTGTAGAAAGCTCCAGAGTACTACAGCTGGGTGTAGACTTCTGCTATGTCTTTATAGCAGCTTCAGTAAAGTTTGGTTTTCGTTTGGTAGAGATAAATTAGAAAAGTACAGGGAGAGCTAATTGCCTTTCACAAGGAAAGTGGGAATTCAAATATTGTGAGAGAGTATCTTGTTTGTCCTCCTTTCTCCCTTCCCCTTTCTCTGGCTTTCTCAGTAAGAGAGGCAGAGAAAGGCTTCGCTTGTCCTGCAAGCTAGAAATCTATAATGAAAACCAGCTGAATGTCACAGGAAGTGTGAAAAGCACAAAATAATGGCACTTGTTATCCCTGCAGAACAACACAGGCAGGAGAGAGGAAATGAAATATTGTTTAAAGGAAAGCTATTACAGCCCTCTCAGATGATACCATCTCATCCCAATTTGCAAAGCAGTTCCACCATTTAGAGCCATGCCAGTTGCTAATTTGATTGGGATGTAGCAGTGTAAAATTATAAACACAATGCGCTATAAGTACAGACATAGGACTAAACTGGATTGAGTTGGGGTGTCTGGAGCCAAAGCTCAATACAATACATAGATAACCCAGATAACCTAAGGAAAGCGAACACTTGCTGATTAAATTATTCCCGTTGGAGGATGTTATGAGGATTTCACCAGTTGTTGGAGCTAAAAATACTTCCATTATTCAAATACTGAAATGAACAAAGTCATTAAGTTCCTTTTTCTCTTAAAGTTTCCTGTTAAAAAATGTTAATTGGAAGCCTTAAATTACTTAAATGCTTGAGTGAACCATACATGTTATTCTCTGAAGGATGGCAAAAATCTGTATTGTCTGATGCTTCTATATGTCCCTTTATTTGATTCAGTTTCTGCCACTTGTCACTAAACTGGGGTTATAATGACAAATCATCTAGTAACAAGTCCCTTTGTCCTATTTCCAAGTAGTAGGAATCAATGGATAGTTCAAGGGGCAACTCTGGAAATGTGTTATGAGCTGCTGAAGAGCTGCAGTTGCTCATCTTAAATCCATATGATCAGCATAATTATCACTCTCACAAATGTACCAAAGTATGAATGTAAAAAGAAACAAACATTAATGACATCCAGTCCTGAGCAGTGCATTTAAAAATGGATTAATACCCCTTTATTAAATATGGGAACACTCATTGGAAAAGAACTGGGGACCTTTGTTCAGATTTATTGCAGAAAAACTTGATTCTGCTTGTATTGTTTATAGCTTTGATGCTTTTGTTCCTGAGCTTTTTACGCATACACACAGAAGTGAACTGGTCTAAAATGATCAACCAAGCTGCCTTATCTATTAGTACAAAATAGCCCCTCATCCCCTGATTGTACCGTATTTAAAACGAAGTGTTGCCTAGTGTTAAAAGCAGGTTTGAAATCAAAGCTGCTCTTGACACCTACATAAAGGCCAAATGCTGAGCACAAAAGCCATTTTTTAGTGTAGTAGTTTAAGCCTCCTCAGAAACCAGCTCTATAATGGAACTGATAATGAAAGTTTAATTACAACTGTTCTTGCAGGCTCCCTCAGAATACACATCCCATTAGATTGTTTCTGCCACGATAGTGCTGTCTTTCAACCTCATTTCTAGGAAACATTTGGCTTTACCTGAGACTAGAGCTCACAGCATTCGTGTAGGTATTTTTGGCACACCTAAAGGAGGATTAATATTTTAATTTGAAGCCTGACATGCGACTATTCAGATTGGGGGAGGTATAGAGAATGAAAATTACATTTGTGTAGGAGAGACTTTGCATGCTGAAAATGCCAAAGGGCAGAATTTTTTTTCTTGATATCATTATAAAAAGCTAAACATTAAAGGCCAGGAAATCACCCCAAGAAAAGAGTTGACATGTGGCAGTGTTTTATTGTTGATTGTGTTATAAAAACATTGTTTTCTTCAACACAACTGAAGATGGCTGTTGTATTCCAGCTATATACCTGGTGTGGTGAAGCAAGCAAAGTACCACCTACATTGTTCATATGCATGTAATGTCCATCCATTCACTTCAGAAGTGTTGCTGGGTACTTGAAGACTTGTGGCATAGACCCACGACACAAATGTTTATTAACTGTGCATATGCTAATGTATTGATATTTCTGGGAAATTAAGGTGGTGGGTGGGTGGTCTCTCAGCAGCATAGAGCTTCTGCAGTGTATTCAGTCACCCTATAAGCAAAGTAACTTAGAAAGGCGGGCAGGCAGGAGATTTCTGCCCCAAAGTTGGCAGCAGCATGTGTTGTCTGAATTGACCATAGGGCAACAGCAGTTGGAAAACTGGATAAGATTCCTGAAAGACACATGGCGTATTTTGAATATTTTAATAAACATTTTATTATCATTTGAATAATAATAACTTAATAATTAAAGTGTGCTGTAGAAGTGCCATTTTTAGTATTTTTAAAATCACATACAGAAGAAATTACCTTAAAAGCAAATGATCATACTTCATAAAACGGTGTCAGTTCCGGATTTAATGGCATTGGTTTGCATTTAAAAGTGCACATCTAATGAATTTGGGAGTTTAAAAATTGAAAATGTTCTTTAACTCCAGAGTGTCAGTTTCAGTAGTGTTGCATCAACATTTGATGTCGGAGATCGCATAACCCAGAAATCTGTTCCAGCCTTTGCCAACTACATTAAAGATGATACATCTTTTAGAGATTTCAAGGTGCCACAGAATCCATGTTAGGTCCTGTCACTTATGAAAACGGATGTCTTAACAGCATAGATCAGTCTTTGTCAACATAGTGCTCTCTAGATGTTTTGTATTTTACCTCCCATTCCCAAGCTGTGCTGATAAGTGTTGCAGTCCAAAACATCTGGAGGAAACCAGGTTGGTGAAAGCTGTAACACATCTATTTTTGTTATGTATCTGTTCTTGTTTTCTGCAAGTGACCAGATTTGGCGTTGGTTTTGTGGCATCTAAAGATTCCCTACAGCTGGTACCATCTTGGACATAATGCCATTGAAAAGGGCTGTGTTATGGAAAATGTGGCTTTGGGATTGCGACCGGCAGTGGATCCTTTTAAGATGAATTCACCAATTTATCTGCTGAGAAATGTTTGTTGTTGAAGAGTAATAGCGCACATAAATAACTTTTATTCCAATATTTGAATTTCAGAATCCAGTAGTAAATGGGTATCTCTGACCAAGGTGCAAGGTTATGTTTTCAAAGGTTTTATCCCAAAACATGCAAGTGTGTCCAGAATAATGATTCCAGGTTTTATATTGTACCGGAATATAACAAAACACTTGGCAAGGTACTGACACTTAATTTGAGTATGTTTTAATGTAATTTATATAGTTTGACCTCTTAAGCAGCCCACCTCACTGAACCCTTTTGTCAATGCTGTGTTTAATGATTTGAAGCAACTGTAAGTGTGGGGTGATAAATGTTCATCTGCATAAATCCAACATCAGTAATAATATCCTGTACCTAGAAGTAGATGCATCATTGCTGCTTAGAGAAAGGATTCATGATTTCTGTGACATTTCTAAACGCTCATACCTGCTTGAGGACGCTTCCATTCAGATGCACCTTCCAGTTTTGGAGAGGTTTTTTCTCCCTTACATGTGCTTTGTACAAAAGAACAGGTGTTAAGAGCTTTCTGACCTCCTGGGTGCTGCATGAATAACAATCACCAAGTGACTCTAGTACTGCTGAGAGTCTTCCGAGAGTGTGTATAAATGTGAAAGGTATAAGCATTTGAGCCCGTTGATGGCATTAGCTAACCGTGAGGTCTGAAACCTTTACACTACTGCAGCAAAAAATGTACACCTTCTTCTTAACTGATTGAAAAAAAGATCTGCTGGTAGTTGAGCTTATAAAAACCTGGATTCTTATTCTAAAATAACCTCCAAAGGCAAATCTGTTTCTCAAGAGAAAATCTGAATTCGTGAATGTTAGGTACAACTACTTCATAGAAATAAGAGGGATAAGGTCATTTCCAAAGCTGAACCTAAACTCTCACTAGGAATATGCACCTCATCTTTTATTTCACAGATGTCCAGTTTCAGTTTTTATTATAGAAGAGAAGTTTGTCGTGTTTAGTCTGATACCTCTGTCTGTAAGGCACATAATGTATGGAATTCAATACAGTACCACATTATTTTGAGTGCTTCTTATGTGCGAGCATTTAAGCTTGTCACACGGAATGATTCCACCCTTCCCCTCTGCTGTTCTGAGGGTTCTCCTGACCCCCTGAGCCAACTTCAAGGGCATACAAGGTGTGGAGAGAAAGGAAGACCCCATTGCGCATGCAGAAGTTCTTGCACAGGGCTTCTGTTGATGGGGCGAGTAAGGTGAATCCTGCCCATTATGTTTCTGTCGTCACAGATTTACAGAGCTCTTAAGCATTCAGACCAAAGGCATTTATTAATAAGATTTCCAAGGAGAAGTTTGAATCAAGTGTATGCATAATACCGTGTAGGTACATTAAAAATGTTGTGTGTCTTCCTGTTGAGAAGGAAAATAGTTTCTCTGCAAACTCACATTTGAGGTTGTGATCTCTGCAAGAATCTGCAACTTCCCACTTCACTAACCGCCTACTCCATTCTGTTCAAATACAATACTGCTTGCATTCGAGTTTAAATAATTAGTCCTTGCTGGCTGGGAACATTTCCACATGCAGATCTGATTTTAAAAGGCCATTGCCATGTATGAAGGGAGGGGAACGACGTGGATGAGAAAAAGACAGGAAAGAGCTATTAGCAAAGCCATTGTATTGTAATGCCTTCTAGCAAATGCACCACTGCTCTGATATACCGCCTTCCTAATTTTTATTCTTCTGAATCATGCAAGAAGAATCCTGTTACACGTACTCATTTTACCATTATTAAGGTTGCAATCCTACCCATACTTGCTTGGCTGTAAGCGTGATTGGACAAACTGAGATCAAGCATAAGACTGGGTGTAAGAGTAGCAATATACACTGAGAACAAGGCTGTTTGTTGTGTATGCTGCCATTCCATGGGAATGAAGAAAAAGCATGTAATGTTTTGTACATCCACACATGAATGCAAGTGATTTAGTAAGAATTGGACATAAGGGATGCTTCATAATAATTGTTAAGCAACAATTGGAATTTGATCCTGGTGTGTTACTATGACAAACCTAGTTTTTTTAACCTGCAGGGTAGGTATGAAAGTTCTCCTCCTCCTTGCAAGCCTGGTACATATGATACTATCCTAATTCAGCACTGGAGGCCAAGCTATGAAATTGTCCCATAAGACAAAGCAGCAGCACCATGTGTTGGTGGGATTGACCAGTACTGCAGCACTCCTAGGAAGAGACTTAACTGTCTGTTAGCTTGCCACTTTAATATGCATTATATAACTTAATAAAGTGAGCTTGAATGCCAGGAGTGTGGTTTATAAAGAACAGGCTATTTGGTTGCGCCTGTGCTTGGGGAATGTTTTTGATGCAGCATTTAAATTGACATTGTACACAGCTGCATTCATAATAAATGTAAAAGCTCTTCTCAGACCTTACTTGATTTGTACTAGAATGCTGCCCATTTAGACTTCGCCATGGGCAGTGAACTTATTTAGCGTGATTCATGGTCTACTTAGAGAAGATGGCTGAAAATTCTGTGTAGAATGCCTCCCCTCCTCCCCAAATAGATCATTCTTTATTTCACTGTTTCAAAATAGTACAAACCCGTTTTTCATTGTTTGGCTGACCTCTGCCTCTTTTCTGCACTCTTTCCCCCTTCATTGTCAGTGCATCATACTTAATACGTGTGTCTCTAGGTTTTTCAAGTTGAACTTTAGTAAGGCAAGAGTCATAAATTTTTACCTTTTTTCATTTTTGCCATTCACAGTGTTTTCTGCTGCAAGCAGTATCCACTTTGCGCTCTGAGCTTTACAGAATTATTTGTTTTATTGAAGGGGGATATTTATACCCCGCTTTTCAGGTGAACCTCACAAAGTGGTTCGCACTGAAATAAGCACCAATTAAAACTACATCAAAAGGCAGCCAAGGGAAGCTACCACGGTTGGGGTTGAAAACTACATCTCTCCTCCCCTTAGTGAAGCCCTGTGATGATACTTGAGGGAGATGCCACCTCAGTTAAATTGCTAGAAGCTAGATAACAGGCGGTTCTCAAGTGGGCTGGGGGTGGTGCTCCAGCCTTGTACCTCCACATTTGACCTGTGGGTCTCTGTGCTACACCTGACTCCTTATAGCATGTTAGGTGTGGGGCAGGTAAAATAACAACAATGTACTCCCCCCCGCAAAAAAAATCCCTGGTCGTCGTCCTCATAATTCTCTAAATTTCATATATGGATATGGGTGGTGGTGATTAGAAATATTCAGCTCACAAAATCACATTGGAAAGGTTAAGATAATATTATTTTAAACTCGCTTAATTCTTTCTAATACCAGAGATCTTCCCAGTTGCTTTTAATAGTATAGGCTTATCCACTCGCTTTCAAGACGGTTGTTTGTGATTGGGGACTGTTAGAGGCTGATGCACATCAGATTGGCTTACCTTTGTGGTTGTTGCTGCCCTGGCATGGTAGCATTTTGGCATTGGCTATCACAGAAGGTTGTTGTTTCAAACATTTCTGAGTGACTTGGATATGTTTGTAGTTCTCTCTTGCTCTTCTTATTGTGATTGAGAATTTGCAGTTGCTGTTTGTGTATTTTTGTATACTCTCAAAGCTGGTTTCAAAACTTGGGTTTTTAAGTTCTATCCTGAGGTCACTTAAAAAAAATTTGTACCTAATTTGGTTTATTACAATTAAATCTGTCACATCACAGATACATACATACATTATTTTATTTGCATGCCACCTTTCCATAGTTCAAAACATGCTCAACAGCTTACAACTTGAGGAAAAAATGCGTAATTAGAAACACTACATAAGTAGTCATAAGCAATAAATAAAACATCAAAAGTTCACAGCCAAACTAAACAATTTCCACATAAATCGTAGTAAGATATAAAATAAAAATACAAAAATTAATTTCAGTAACAGCAACAATCCTCCTTCCCAAAACAAAACCCCCTAAACCAGGCATCCCCAACCTGGGCCCTCCAGATGTTTTGGCCTACAACTCCCATGATCCCTAGCTAACAGGACCAGTGGTCAGGGATGATGGGAATTGTAGTCCAAAGCATCTGGAGGGCCGAAGGTTGGGATGCCTGATGTAAAGCATGCCAATGCACCATCACAAGGTAAGAACAGTTATATGGATGGCATATAAATAATAAAATTATTAGTGGTGCTCTTGCAAACTGAGGCTGAACTATTTGAAATCACCAGTTTCTTTTTAAGGACTAATGCTCTCTTTGCTTTGAGACAAGGAAGCTATTAGTGGAGAAGACCATAAAACAAGAACATCTTACCAGGAATCTAGCTTGTACAGTCAGTCCCAATTTCACTAGGAACACATACTTGCACAAGTTGAATTCTAACTAGGTATATTTTGAAGTGATTCCATTGAACTCAGCGGGAATTGGTTCCAAGTGAGTTTAGAGTTGTGTATTTTAATGACATTTTAATAAAACCTTGCTAGCTGACGATATTTTCAGGGATGATGGGAATTGTAGTCCAAAACATCTGGAGGGCCGAAGGTTGGGGATGCCTGCCCTAAACCATACCCCAGCACTAGATGGTGGGGGGAGGGGTATGTCTAGCCTAGTGCTGGAAACCAGAGGTGGGAAAGGAATAAATTAATACAATATTATATTTTATAGCAATAATAGCAAAATTCTTCAAGCTGGATAATTTGCAATAGATTATGTAATTAACCAGATGGAAGAAACAAAAAAGTTTCTTGTAAACTGTAGGAGTGACAAAGTATTTGACAAAGTACTGGTAGATGCATATGATCTTGCTGAAGTAGTAGAAATCCGAGCAATTTTGAACCAGATCCAGTTTGCTTGAGAAAAAGTAGAAGCAATTTGCATATGAAATGAACAATGAACCTATCGAGAATCCTAAAGAAAAATTGAAAGTAAACTTTTACTTTGGTATCCCTGAAACTGCAATGCAATCCCTTGATGGAAGGTTCAAACAGACAGATAAAATCAATTCTTCATTGGGCTTCTTCTGTAATATTCAAAGTTTGCAGAATAGTACATCAGCACAAATTATATAACACTGTGTAAATTTAGAGAAAGCTTTACAACATAGGGATGCCAAAGACATTGATGCTGCTGAATTATTATGATGAATTAAAAACTATTGGCCGACAACTTCTGAACCATGCAACACCCAAGAGATAATTACATTTATATGTAAACATAACGTGACTGATAGTGTACCCAATACATTTATTGCTCTTTGCATCCTCTTGACCCTTCCTGTTTATGTTTCCAGTGGTGAGCAAAGTTTTTCAATACTGAAGTTAATTAAATCATTTATACATTTTTTGATGTCTCAAGAAAGGCAATATTGATAGAGCATGAAATTGCAGAAAGCGTAGAGGTATCTGCACAACTTTAGGCAAGAAGAATTAGATTCTTAATGTATTAAAGATGTAAAACTTTTGTAAATTTGTTCTGGAAACTTGTTGGAAATTTATGGAATTAACAAATTAACACAATTTATTATAATAATAATAATATTGTTTTATTGTGTCAACCACCTTGAGAAGACTACATAGTCCTGAAACGTGGCATACTAATCCTGGAAAGCAGGTAAATGGCTCTAGTAAAGGAGTAAGTAGAAGCGTGGCGGTGGGTTTTCTTCCAGGCTGTTCTCACTCTGAAGTCAGAGTCCTCATTTCCAGCTCACCCAACTGCACACATTTCCTTTGATCGGGTCCAGAGCTTTGAGGAGGCAGCAGGTCAAAGGGAGAGTGTGTGTTTGGCTGTGCAGGAAAAATGGGATGAGACTTGGGAGAGAGAGTGGTCTTAAAAGAATGAGGGGGAAGAGCAAAAAGGGACAGAAATGTTTGGCCTGAAGCTACTGAGGTGAAGAATCAAAAGTGGAATTGAAATAACCAGTCAAGTCTTGGCTACAGGCTTGCAGTAGGAAAAGAATGCTTCAAAGTTCAAGTTGTATTGATTTTTCACTGCTTGTTTTCACATTCCTCTCATTTCTTGTTGTGCATTATTGGGCTTTTTCCATGAGATCAATAGGTTTTGTGTGGTGACATCACAGGTAAAGGAAACGCAACATCTCCGTAACTTGATGGAGAAACTACCATGCAAAATACTATGGAAATTGCTTTGATTTAGGCTGGAGACCTCTGTCTCTTTTGATTAAGAATGTTTCAAACTTGTGGACTTTGTGATAGTTGGATCTGTTGAGAATGCAGGAAGAGTTCTGCAAGGCAGAGAAAGACTATACTGGACAGTAATTAAAAGAAGGAGGAGATTGTCTGAAATGAATTCAAATGTGGCTGCATTTATTTCTACCCTATTCATTCCAAAACACTTTTGACTGGTTGGGTACAATAATTTTCACAGCTCAATTTGGTCTGATGGCCATCTGGTACTTTTTAAAGCTTACATCTTATTTTCTGTGAAAACTGAGGCACTAGATTTGCAAGCCTGATATTAATCATTTTATATACACAGTTTTCCTGATAGCAACCAAATGCTTATCCTGGACAGTGGAAATAGAAAATCAAGACAATGATTCATTTCTAGGTTAACCTGTGCAACATGTGACCAAGAAATATTGTAGGAGCGCCATACATTCACTGGAAGCAGTTCTTTCTTCAAAAGGGAAATTATTTTAATTAACAAATGCAGTAGGTCCGGTAAAAGTTTATATATCTATGCAATGTGTGGATAGAATACCATTACAAATGTTAAGGCAACATTTTTTTTGCAATATCAAAGGAATAATGGATCTGTCTACTCTATTAAGATGTTAGCATAATCTTAATTAACATATTTATTAGTCTAATTATGTGACAACGCTCTGATAATAAAACTTGCTGTTGACCGTTCCTCAACATCAGGGATGGAACGAGGATATGAAAACCAAATTGATACAGAATCCACACTTTAATGGCCTCACACAGTTATTTGGTGGTGGTGGTGTAGAAAATATAGCTGGTTATGAAGGCACGGTTCATGCATAACACTAAAATAGGAGTGGCTAACATTTATACTTGCATATGTTGCTGGACTACATCTTCCATGAACCCTGGCTATTGGCTCTGTTGCCTACAGCTAATGGGAACTGGAGCCCAACATTATCTGAGCAGGAGGTTGTCACCCCTCTGTTTAAACATGGTTTAGCCTTATGTGTGCAGACTTCACCCTTGTGCACTTCCTCCTCCACTCAGGGGCTTTCTTGAAGACTTTTTCATGATGTCTGTGTGAGGAGAGGAGGATGGCTCAGGAATGGATGAACCAGAATATTGGAAGGAGCAGCAAGTTCTGCTCAAGTTGGCACCTTGCTAACGCCTCTCTATACTCAATATTCATATTCTGTTTCTTTGCGTGTTTTGAGTGACAGTATTGGCCAGAATGCGTTGCCCCTGGGACAAAAGAAGAAAAAAGGAAAAATTAAGCCAGGTAAGACACAGAAGGCATATAGGATTGTGACATACATGGTGTGTAAATCAGTGTTAAACAAGAACTCCGCTCCTGGCTGGCTCAGATTTCAAAGGAAAACATTTCAAAACACTGGGGGAGATTGTGCTGTTAAGCTGGTGATGCAATTACAAGGCTGTAAGCTGGAGAAACGTTTTCGAAGTGGCACATATTAAACCTTTCGAAGGTAGTGCTTTGATTTTTAATTTTACGCTCTTGGCAGGCAGGCAGGGTCTTTAATAGTATGAAGGCCAGAGGGAAAATGTTTCAAAACAGTGAGGATCTTATCATAGTGTGCAATTAATGAATAATTATTAAAAAACCCAGAAATAACTGGGAAAAAGGAAGTAGAAGTGGGCAGTGCATAGCTCTGGTTTCTAGCCTATAATGAAACCTCAAGAGGAGAAAATCACGATATTTTTTCATTCAATTAATTCCCCGCTCTCATACCGCAGTTAAAAGATCAGTAAAAGATACATCAGTCACTTCAGTTTGGTTTTCAGTGACTTTACCATCATGTGGGATGGTATTTTATATATTTGACTAGTTAAGAGACAATCTACCATCTTCCTTCATTAAGTAAGTTCTTTTTTATATTAAAAAAAAGTACGGCAGTAGAAGTCTAAATTGGAAGACGGTCACTCTGGCAGGCTTATCATATATGATTTCCTTTAAATCTTTAGATCGGATTCAAAGCTGTAACAGATTAAACTAATTAGCATGTAATGGCTTCATTGAAGTACAGTGGTACCTCGGGTTAAAAACTTAATTTGTTCTGGAGGTCGGTTCTTAACCTGAAACTGTTCTTAACTGTTCTTAACCTGAGGTACCACTTTAGCTAATGGGGCCTCCTGCTGCCGCGGGAGCAAAGTTCTTAACCCGAGGTACTATTTCTGGGTTAGCGGAGTCTGTAACCTGAAGCGTTTCTAACCACGCCTCAGGAAAGAGACGTCACCAGAACTCTTTAACTCTGTGAGTTCTGAAACCATTCACAGGTACCACTGTAGATCCTTGCCCTTTCACGATACTGTCTTTTGATACATGTAAATATTAAGCAGTTCCAAACACTGGCCCCATCACTTCTTGGCTAGCACACCCAGGAAATAGCTTTGCTTAGGTCAGGTCCTCAGTGAACATAGTCACACGATTGGTCCAGCTAGTCTTGTCTACCCTGACTGGCAGTGGCCAGTGTTCTGAGTTACATTGCCAGTGTGAACATGGATTGGAGATGCTCCTTAGCTGTTGTTACTATCATTCCTTTGATAGAACTATCCTCCATGAATCCTTATTGAAAGCCATCTAAGTTAAGGCCATCAGCACATCTTGTACCGTATTTTTCACTCCATAAGACACACCTGACCATAAGACGTGCCTAATTTATAGAGGAGAAAAGGGGGAAAGCCCTGTTTTTTTGGGATCAGCTCACAGTTGTGCAGCTTCTTTTGCAAAGGGTAAAAGCCCCGTTTTTTTGAGGATCAGCCCGTCACATGTCGCTGGGGAAACAAACAGCCTCCATCTGCAGAACATTCAACAATGGAGGCCTGGGCAAGGGGCCAGGGCCAGAAAGGGAGCCAGCGATCGACCACACATTTGCTCCATAAGACGCACAGACATTTCCCCATACTTTTTAGGAGGGAAAAGGTGCGTCTTATGGAGCGAAAAATACGGTAATTTACCAATTCCAGTGCTTTTTTTCTTAAAACATGTTTAGGGGTACTCTCAATTTGACTCAAGAAAATCACCATTTTATAGTTCAAATTAGGAAAAATAATTACAGTAAATGGATAAAAATACTAAGATTCACAAAATGTTTAGGGATATGCATACCCCTCCGTCCCCCCAGAAAAAAAGCACTGACGAATTCCACAATTCTTAACTTAAAAATGATATATTGCATAGAATAGTACTTTTTCTGTTTTAAATTTTAAAGCCAATTGATATCATTGGTTGATCTCAACTTGCAGTATATTAGAAAATAATTATTTCCTTCCACTCCATACCAATTTTAAATTTATATCTATTAAGTCTCCTCCCTCAATTAGGCTGAAATCCTAAGCACATGCACGCACAGCTACTAAAGTAAAGCAAATCTTAAACTTTGGAAGAAATCTCACCGTGGCTGACTTCTCAGTAAACAAATTTAGGATTTTACGCTACAAATCCTGTTTTTTTCCAATTTAAAAAAGCTCAAAAGCTTTTGGACTGTGACATACTCTTCACATGTATTTTTCAAAATACATATCCACATTTGACTCAATATTTTAAAGAAGTGGGAATAGTCACCTTCTTGGAAACGTCTTTAAGATGGGAAAGGTGTTTCTTTTCTAATGAATATGCATTTTCTTCGTTTTAGAAACAAATTAGCTCTCCCAGTTGCATTACATCAAGGGGCGGGGGGTGGGGGACAAGATGACAGTACCATGCAGTGAAAACACTTAGCAAGATGGACTGTATGTAAGGGGATAACCAAAAGAATTTGTATGTGGCATTTCCCAGGAACTGTAACTAGGAGACAATGTTCAAACTTCTCTGCTTTTTACTATTGCTTTCCGTTTTGTGTGTGCATGCCCATTTTTAAATCCTTTCTGTCATTTTGAGTTCTCCAGCACAACCTTTGACATAGAGTGAAACAGAGAGCAGCATATATAAGCCATGACAGCTAGTTTATGCATTCCCCGCTACAGAAATTTATCTGTGTCAACATCATATCCAGTCGTCATATTGCCATAGTGAGGGAGAAAGCGTTCTCAGGAACTTCAGTTTCTATGTGACGTGTTTCTTTTGAGAAGGATTGTCTGTTGAGTTAGAGCAAGATGGCTGCAATATGGTGAGGACATAAATGTAAAAGTGAGGAGGAATTAAAGAACCTTTTAATGAGGGTGAAAGAGGAGAGCGCAAAATATGGTCTGAAGAATTGATGCTTTTGAATTATGGTGCTGGAGGAGACTCTTGAGAGTCCCATGGACTGCAAGAAGATCAAACGTATCCATTCTTAAGGAAATCAGCCCTGAGTGCTCACTGGAAGGACAGATCATGAAGCTGAGGCTCCAATACTTTGGCCACCTCATGAGAAGAGAAGACTCCCTGGAAAAGACCCTGATGCTGGGAAAGATGGAGGGCACAAGGAGAAGGGGATGACAGAGGACGAGATGGTTGGACAGTGTTCTCGAAGCTACAAACATGAGTCTGACCAAACTGGGGGAGGCAGTGGAAGACAGGAGTGCCTGGCGTGCTCTGGTCCATGGGGTCACAAAGAGTCGGACACAACTAAACGACTAAACAACAACAACAAAACAAAATGTAAAACAAAGTTTTTGAGCTTTGTCAAGTGGTTGTCAATTTCCCATAATATACACTTGCTTGTGCAAGCAGAATCATGTGCCTCTGGAGAGGGCAGCATAGACAATACCTTGCTCACAGTTGGAGTCTCTACGGACCAACCAGAAGTGTGGTTAGTTATCGTTTCCTCCAGGACACCTTTGAAAACCAGCCACAGAGACAGCTTTATTTATCCTGTCAGATTGCCAGGTGGTAACAGTGAGAACAGGTGGTAACATGAGAATGGTGGTCCCTAGCCGAGGTGCCTAGCATGGAATGAAAACATCCTTGTTTCACCATTCCTGAAACAAATGCCTCTTAGTACAAGTATTTTATGCAAATATATTTTTAAACTTCAGTGGTATCTCCAAAGGATTTTGGGAAGCCTTCTATTTATATTATCTTGCACAGTTCTGTTGTCTACTCAGGTTGAATGAGTAGTTCTTGGTGGCGGCTCCCTCAGCAGATCATTTGAATACCATAATCATGAATTTCTGTGTTGATTAGAGTCGTTCAAGGCGCTTTCACAAAGGATAGCAGAGCTATCCAGTTGTTCTTACATTCTGTCTGTAGAGGAGGAGTGGAGTCACAGTCCCTCTAATTCAACCTTCCCATGTTGAGCAGGAAGATTTGGAGCTGTTTAGCTAAACACAGGTATAGTCTTCTGAGTAGACATGGTTATGGTTGTGCAGTGAAGTACCAAGATGAAAGATGCAATTTCCTTACTTACTACGTACTTTATAACAGAAATTAGAATGAAGAACATCTAAATCAGAGGGAAATGTGGGTTCTTTCTAAGAAATTAGCCACTGTGACCATACCGTACTTTTCACAGGACCTGGAATTATAGCAGTAATTGAAGGAAGAGGTACTGAGAAGCTTTGTGTGATTTTTTTACTGTACTACCCACACTTAACCTGCTAACTTTAGTCTAGTATTTATATAAACTGGCTTTAGCACAGTCCCCATGTGACATGGGGGTATTTATCATGCTGGCTCTGCATATAGAAGTACCTTAGTAGCGTCCATCTTTAAGACATATATATTTTCATGAAACCATGGGAATTTGTTTTCTCCAAATAGTTTTAAGTTTAGTTGGGGATTATAATTAAGTAAAAATGGATACGCTAGTCAGGAACGGACTCCCTCAGAAGGTGGTGGACTCGCCTTCGTTGGAGATTTTTAAGCAGAGGTTGGAGGGCCATCTGTCATGGATGCTTTGGCCGAGATTCCTGCAATGCTGGGGTTGGACTAGATGACCCATGAGGTCCCTTCCAGTGCTACAGTTCTATGATTCTATGTCCCATACTGCATGCTCCATTTAGCCTAACTCACTTCTTAAAAAGGCACTCTAAATAAACACTCATGTACATTCCATGGTTCTTTATTTTCATATATATATGGACCACCTTCTGTCATCCTTTCTACCTTTCTCTGAAAAGCAAGTATGAATAATGCATGGAAGAGGAGGAGGGTGTTGTATTGTTTTTAATGAACAGACTGGCGCCATGTTGTTTTTATTCTAATTATTTGGTGGGTGGGTGTGGTTTTAATTTTATCAGTGTTTAATTATAGGTTTTTAAAAATGTTTTCCCCCTGTGTTTTCCTTGTCAGGGGAAAAGGTGGGGTATGTATGAATGAATGTATGTTTCTGCTTTTGCTTCTGCCCTGGACCACTATGCATTCCTTGTAACTTCATGATTAGAGCCAGTGTATGTACAACTTGTACACATAGGTTCTATCCATATGCAGTTGGAGTCCGAGCTAGATCAAGTATCCAAACTTCAATGCACGTAGGCTCTGTTTACATAGAATAATGTGTGGACAACAAGATGGGCACAGTGGGCACGAAGGACACATTTAGTGTTGGTGGTTTTAGACTAGATGAAAAGGGATAAGTTTTGTGTAGGACATAACTTCTCTAACTACAGCAAGATATAACATATCAACTAGATGTCCATTCCTCCCCCTTCAAAAGTATATAGGTTCTTCTTTGCCAGTGAGATTTGCTTAGCTGTCTTGCCTGGCCTTTTTCTACTGTCGTTAATTCATAATCTTGCCAGATAAGCTTTAATTTAGTGCCAACTCAGCAAGTAACTCATGGGTAAAAGTGCTTTACGTGTCAAGCCCACTGGTGGCAGTTCATCACTTGATTTATCTCTTATTTCCATGTGGAGTTAAATGTAAACTGCCACCGTAAATCATCAGTGTGAATGGTGCACTATTTGCATATTTCTGTACTACCCAATTTTAAAAAATTGCCCATATGTTTATCCTCTTTTGTCCGCTTTCAGACTTAGCAAGGTTTATTTCTTATCTTTTATTCCAAATCAAGAAGCACTGGCTTAATTTTGATTTCAAACTGACTTGTTGATCACAAAATGGCTTTAGTAATGCATGTTGCTGCCCACAGAGAACCAACACAAGAATGTGTGTTTCCAGGTCCTTTCCCTAACGTTTGCCCATGCTAATAATTCTTATATATGAACCACTCCTTCCTGTTCAATAGGGACAGTCCTGATTTTCTGGTGTCCATCCATCATAAATTACTGTAAATTACAGTTTTCATAAATTACAGTTTTGGTGAAGAGTAAATTGAATTTACTGCACATTTTGCTCTGTTTCCCACAAAGATTTATAGAGATCCAAGGAGTGAGACTAAAATATAAAGACTTCAGGGGAAGGTATATATACTAGAGCTAGCTTAAAAGGTCATCTCCCAAAACTCTCCAGAGAGCAAGATCACAACTTACAGTAACTTATGATGGATAGGACTTACCATGGGGTTCAATCAGGAATTTCAAAAACTTTTTAAAATTCCTTTTCTTCCTTACTTATCATTTCTTTGTATAATTTCTCTTAAAATTTGGGATGTATCTCTTTGGTAGGGTGATCTGTTGATGCACTGCTTCTAGAATGCTCTTATATCCTGAAATCTGATGTCAGATTTTGACTGACCTTGCTGTGGGAAAAGTACCACCCATTGCTCTGCTTAGCCGACTTTCCCCCAGATAGCAGCAGGAGTGAGATCAGGACAATTCTCTTCCGGAGATTTTTTTCCACACCTGGGTGAGAAGGGTGTAGTATAGAACAGAAGCTAAACGCTGATTACATTTAGAAGTGAGCTTTTTATACTATTGACTAAACAACATCTCAGGAGGAAGATCCCAGGTGGAAAGTTCCTACCTGTCAGTCCAGACTGTCATGAAAACCACAATATCCACAGTATTTGCAAACATATATTTCCTTATCTAAAGGTCATTTAAGCTTTTGCTGCTTAGCTCTGTGCTTAGCTGTTTTTTGTTCTTGCTTTAAGCACACATTTACTGCCTTCTCGGTAGTGGCGCCCACCCTGTGGAATGCCCTCCCATCAGATGTTAAGGCATTAAGCAGACATCCTATTTTTAAAAGATATTTGAAGGCAGCCCTGTTTAGGGAAGTTTGTAATATTTAATGCTGTATTGTTTTAACACTCGATTGGGAGCCACCCAGAGTGGCTGGGGAAACTCAGCCAGATGGGCGGAGTATAAATAATAAATTATGTTGTTGTTGTTTATATAGAGATGAGTTCAGACTTCAACCAAAATGTAGTCAGTCCTGCTTCACTTACATCAACATGCACAGGGCTGGTCTTACCAAAGAATATGCTAGCATGAAGAAAAGGTTAAACAAGCACTCTTTTCTTGTACTGTTATCCAGCAGCTTGTCAAAATTTGACAATTCTTTTTTAAAAAAAAGGTAATTCCGATCATATTAGGGTTGCCAGAGAGGGTAAAAACCATATATTTCAAAACTGAACTATGGATCGATAGGGAACCTATGGCCCTCCAAATGCTGTTTTAACTACAACTTCCATCATCCTTGACAATCGGCCGTGCTGTCTGGGGCTGATGGAAGCTGGAGTACAACAATATTTGGAGGAGCACAGGTTCCTCATCCCTGAACTGTGGATTTTTTCTAATTTTTTCTTTGGTAATATATGGGTATAGCATGGTTATTTTTGTAGAACCTAGAGATGTCATTCAGAATAAAGGCTGTTTGGTGACCCTATCTTGGCTGAACTCAAGGGAAGCGACTAATATGAGCCATAAGGAGGCAGCCACAACTTAATTTCCTCTCTCTGAGGCCTTATTCCAGAATATTGCTAGTGTTGCTGCTTTGGCCAGCTGCTTGAAAAAGGGTAAGCACTTAAGAATACCGCACAAAGTCTGTTTTTGAAACTGTCAAAACCCAGATCAAAATGCATATAAGCATTTACTTTCACAGTTTTGAAGGGAAGAAAATAGTATTGTGCCTTTTGACAAGAAAGTATAAATTGTGCCACTTGATTTGTTACCAGTAATGCTTCAGTGGCTAGCAGTGCGTAATAACTTTTCCCTTTATGGCTAGTACATTGCATTGTTGTCTCTAAAATTTTCATGTTTGGATCAATTTACTGGATTTTCATTTCATGTTGAGGTGGTTCAATCTATGTCTGAAGGCCCATTTTGTTCAGACTCATAACTCAAGCGGCGTCCTGTAGCTAGAAGAGATTGCTTTTGAATGGTTATGTTGGTTAATCATAAACTGTTGCTTTGGTGTGTGAGTAAGTGAAAGCATTTTGCTGATGATAAAACATGAGTTTTGAGTGCAGTTCAACTGCTACCTTGACCAAATGCACAAAAGAGGTAAAAAATTAAGTATATAGCTCCTGTAGCCTAATCCAATGCTTCTGCATTGCTGAATGTGTAGAAGATTGCACTTTTGGGGAACGAACCTCCCATAGTGCTTAGTAATAGGATTTACTGTGGATGGAATCACTGTGCTGTTGAAAGCCTGCAGCTTAGATATAGATAAAGCAAGACTTCGTACCACCTGCGCACATACACGGGAACACTGCTGTTGTTGATCATCCATCTATAATTAATGCGTTCTTTGCTTAATTGGATATAGAATATGACCCTAGCATGCTGATCTGAATGAATATGATGGGGGATTAAATCATTAACAGTATGAATAAAGTGAAAACCCAGAATGTATTGAACATAAGCTCATTTCTATACTGCAGAAGTCAGCAATGTTTCAAGCGGTGCTTCCAATTTGCTTCTGTTTACTGATCACTGCGAAAAATGCTTTCCCTCTTGTCCTTCTTGCCCTCTGTTACGCTTCAACATTTTGGGGAGTATAAATTACATTCATCCAAATTAAAGGCTCCAGATAAACTTATTTTAACACTTTTTGGGTCTGTGAAATTGGAGAATTTACTGCAGCAGAATGAAATCTATGAAACTGAGTGAGGATCTTTAAACCCATAATAGAATAAATATAATCTATAAGCTAACATAACACAGAGGTGGATTTGTAACACCCCAAAATGCTATTCATTTGTTGATTTTGCTTGCCTGGCATTGCTGAAGAAAATAAATTGCTATCTGGGCATTACTAGAAAGCTATCACAACATACATTTAAAGTGGAATCTAGCTAGCTTCTCTGGAAATCTGTGGTGAAACTAGGCATTGAGGTAGCTATGATAATTACTTTGCTGTTTTCTTGTTTTGCCCTAGTATTTGTTGCATAGTAGCCTATGTCCAGTCTTGGTTTGCAGCTAGTATGTATGCCTTTACTTGATGTTCATCCTAGTCTTCCAACAGATGCTCCGCACAATAGTCTTATAACCCACATTCAGAAAAGATCAGGGTGAAGTCTTTAAAAAGTAAATATATGATGGAATTTAAGGCTACTCCCACCTCAGTTAAATCAATATGTGATTATTTGGCTTACAGTTTATCTGTGTTGAGACTGCAGTACTAAGCATTCGTGCGTGCAGCAACCATAATATTCCCCTTGTGTGTATCTGTAGAAGGGGATAGCAAGTGGAAGGTTGGAAGAACAGTTTGAGAAGAGCATCCGAGCTCATAATGATTCAGTGTGTTGAGGCATTTGACAGTCACAAAATTCTGCTCCTTAGTTTCTCTCGTGTGTGTGTGTGTGTGTGTGTGTGTGTGAGAGTGTGAGAGAGAGAGAGAGAGAGAGAGAGAGAGAGAGTATGTATGGGGTGGGAGCAAGGGAATGAATCTACCTTTATCTTAGCTGATATTATGGTTCAAGGTGGACCTGACCCAAAGGCTACGAAATGGTGAAGGCCCTTAGAAACCACCTTTCAGCAGGAAGCAGGAGTGATGACGTCTATATTCTACTTCCACTGTGGAAGATTGTATGCCTCTGAATAGCAGTTCCTGAGAATCCTGTGTGAGTAGAGCACTGTTATACTCGGGTCATACTTTTGGACTTCCCGTGGACATTTGGTTGGCCACTGAAAACAAGAGCACTGGATGAGATGGGCCTTTGGCCTGATTTGGCAGGGCTTTCACGTTCTTGCATTTCTTCTGTTAGAATCTTTTTCATTAAAACCTGTTCAGACACCTGTTGAATATGCTTTAGATTTGTATACTTCTAGCAGCATTGCTGTTTAAATGTAACTCTCTCCATCTTTCTGGCTCCTAAATTTTACCATTATAATTTCTCCAGAATATTATTCCTTTCCATTTCTGTCGTTTTGTACATGGGGGTTTGTGTGACCCATAGGCTGGGGCTGGGGTAGTGAAGGCCGTGCTCTAACTACTTTTATCTGGTCTTCATGAATGTTGCCCTGCATATCCTGGGGTAACAAAAGCTGGAGAACTATGCAGGTGAACCTCCAGCTGAAACACCAAAGCCTCAGCCATAGGAGCCAGGGAATGTTAACAGAGATGTCTGAACACAGTGTGACTAATTACAGCAGCTATTGTGGCACTTGACACATAACCATCTTACCCTCTTTTTCCAGTGTGACAAGGAAATATAATTGCCAGTTATTGTTGCAGCACATATTTAGTCTGTTCAGTCTTTTGCATTGTATCCAGAAAGCATTCACGAAGCGCCTGTATCCTTTTTGCCTTTTCATGAATGTGGTTTGGATGGGAAAGCCAAGGGGAGAGGAGCGGGGGAGAGGTTTCAAAACTACTATAGCTTGTTTCCTCCTCTTCCCAGGTTTGATTTCAATGCAGTGCTAGGTATTGGCCTTCTGTGGAAAGGATCTTTTCTATTCCCTCCACTGCATAGAATTGGGGATCCTGAGAATGTTGGCTGGGATAGCTAGGATAGCAGGCTTGTTGGTTTCTGAATGTCTGATGTAGATTTTCAATTTCATTGTTCTGTATGGGACAATGACAATAAAGATTATCGTATTGTATTGTATTGTATTGTATTGTATCGTATCGTGCGTCCATGAACTGTCCCCTGTATAACTTCAGGTTGTCAACCTAATCTCTTAAAAAGGGCTAGAGTTCAAGCCTGTCTGGAACACCAGCCATCAGTGGGAAGCCCAGATCCCTGGCCCAGATCTGTGTGTGGTTTGGCTGCACTTAGAATTAGAGAGTTGGAAGGGGCGGACGTGGAGGTCCCACTGCCCAATGCAGGGTCTACAATGCAGTTTACAACTGCAGCATGCCTGCAGATCATCAGCCTCTTCTTAAAAGGCCTACTGCGTGTGGTGGTGTGATTAGAGTGCCAGACTAAGCCTTAGGTGATCTTGGTTCAACAGTCCACTTAACCACGAACCTTGCTGGAAGACTTGTAACCAATGACAGTTTTTAAAGAGGGCTTGCAGAACAGGACAATAAGCAGGTCTAATCAGACAACCCAATCCTAGTCAGTTTTAGAACGAGCTAGAAATCTTTGCAGCCTGGTTTTATTTGCTTGTTCATTGTGTTGTGGTTTAAATAAAAATAAATAAATGAAGCATTCCTCAAAGGGTTAGCGATTGCACGCTTTCAGGGTGACAGCCACAACCTACATTCTGTACTTGCAAGCAAGCACTGCTGTTTTCAATGAAATCTACTCGTTAAATAGCTAATTGAAGTGTGTGGGTTGAGGAATCCTAATTCCAGGAAGCAATTAATTAGGGATGAGAGCCAGTTGATCCATGGAAATGACTTCGAGGCTCAGGATATGAAATAGCTCTGAAACCAGAAATGCACATCAAGTAATAGAGACTGTAGGGCCATTCCAGACATGTCATCCACCTCTCCCAGAGATAATTCCTCCCTCTGTGCTTCAGCTGCACATTTTCCTATTCACACCTGAAGAGGTTGTGCTGCTGTTCTGCTCTTTCTCTCTTTTATGGAGTTACTGCAGAAAGAAAAAAACTTGTATTAAGCAGTGGGAAAGCACAGGTGGATTACAATTGGCTTACAACATCATCTTTGACCCCTCTGAAAGTTGCATAAAAGAAGCATTAAAAGCCTGATCTGAAACAACACTCAGGTATGTGAATTAAGTGTATGAGGCATGGTTGCCTGTGAGAGTGTTTGTATTTTGTATGTCTAATCTTCCTCTTCTCGCGCATAGACAAAGAGGCAGAGAGAGAAAGGGGGCAAAGAGATGGACGGCAGGCATGAGAGCCTGATGAATGTTCCTAACTATTGTTTGATTGTGGCTTAGAACATGAGTTTTGCCCATCACAAACTCTGGGTCTACATGCAGTTGATATACTAGTTATATTGGTGAAGATCTTGTCTTTTCTTTCCTACATAGGCTACAATCCTATGTCCACTTCTTGTTGTTTAGTCGTTTAGTCGTGTCCGACTCTTCGTGACCCCATGGACCAGAGCACGCCAGGCACTCCTGTCTTCCACTGCCTCCCGCAGTTTGGTCAAACTCATGTTGGTAGCTTCCGCTTACCTGGATGTAAATCTCATTGAACTTTGTTTGACTTACTTCTGAGTAGACATGCATGGGCTTGTACAGCATATCTTTCAGAGTAAACTGCACTATCCGGTTTTCACATGATACTCTGGCTGTCATTCCCCGCCCCTTGCTTTAATTCATTAACTTACTTTGTAATGATTTAACGTTTACTGCGTGGTTACTGTGTGAAAAAACTGTTACCCCACCATTGCTTCATTTGATGTTTATCAAGATGGCTGACTGTCTTAAGAGGATGCATTTATTTCTATTCTCTTTGAAAAAGCTTTGTTGAGTCCTACTGTGGTGATTGGTTTGGTATTAAAAAAGAAATATCTCAGGCCTGTCTTTCTAGCAGGAATCTTTATGACATGACATCTCATATCATGTTTTGTCTCATTGGGTATATGTATTGAGCAATTGATTATTCATTGAATTCTGCAGCCAGCTTGCAATAGACAACATCTGCTTTATTTGGCTTTATGCTGTGCTGGCTGAATTTTGTTTTTAAAACAACAACAACAAAACTTTGTTTGCACACCCAATTGAATGGGTGCACCTCAGAATTTAAATGTGGATTTGTTTTGGAAAGTACATTTTCAGCAATGAAGACATATCCTTTGTCAAAATAAAAGGCAACTGGACAAAAGAAATAATTCTGCATGAATCTTTGGAGCATTGCTTGTATTTTATATCTATATTCTTTCTTCTGTCTCATGCCCTTGAACAGATCTTTTATTATTATGGCATTATACTTTGGGGCAGTTTCTTTGGTAGGGGGATATTGAGCTCTGAATTTCATTTAACTACTTTGTGGTCTCAAATATCACAGTTATTGAGACCTTGGCTTTAATCATCTGTGTGCATGAATAAGGGTTTGATCATTCTTCATTGATTTTTTTTTTTAAAAAAACCATAGATTTTAAAATGAATTTTAATTTTTAAGTTCTAAAATAAATTTCAGTCAGTCAGTTCATCTTTAGTATAAAGGCTGAATCAGCAGGGAGGATGACATGAAAAAGTTACTTCTTGCTTACTTTTATCTAACTTTATGCCACAGCCATCACTGTCAAGCGGCCTCTGGAAGGTTGCCCATGCAGGAGTGTGGCCCTCAGGTTAAATGTCTAACACCAACCTACATGGTACCAGGTGGCTGTGGAGTTGATTGCTGCACCATGTGCATATTCTGTCTCCTGTGAGAGGCAGACTGCATGTACACTAGGGCTTCTGGCACTACCTTTCTAAGTACAGTGGTACCTTGAGTTAAGAACTTAATTCGTTCTGGAGGTCCATTCTTAACCTGAAACTGTTCTTAACCTGAAGCACCACTTTAGCTAATGGGGCCTTCCACCGCCACTGTGCGATTTCTGTTCTCATCCTGAAGCAAAGTTCTTAACCCGAGGTAATTTTTCTGGGTTAGCAGAGTCTGTAACCTGAAATGTCTGTAACCTGAAGCATCTGTAACCCGAGGTACCACTGTAAAGAATTGTGTAGTTTATATAAAATACTCAATATTAAATAGCAATTTATGTTACTTCCAGTGCTGCTGGAACATCTTTTTGCAAGGTACTGGTAAATTCATAGTATTAAAACGAGAAATCAATAGCAATGTGTGTACTATAAGAAAAAACTTTGCAAGCAAACGAAATGGGCTAAGAACATACTTTTAGCAGAGCTTCACTCAAAGTAATAAGTATGGAATGTACAGCTGAAATTAATATTGAGGAGTGCAAATTAAAAAATAATTCTGCTTTCACACAATTGCAAATTCAGTAGTGGTGTTCATTAAAGTAAGCAAATGTTTGAGTATTTGCGTTGAGAGTCATTACTTTGTGTTAGCTCTGTTGTAGCTCTATTTGAGATAAAGGAGCTTAGGGAATTTCTAAGCAAGCAGTTCATACTGCAAACAAGATACGCTGTTGTTACTCCCTTGTAGCAAGCATCAGTATGCTACCTTCCCTTATAGCAGTGTTTCCCTTTCAATAACACATTTTATCACCGAGAGCGTGACACTATCCCCAGTTTATGAACTTGCTGTGATTTGGAGTGAGATGCAGAATGCAGCTGACAAAGTGACATGGTCCCTGTGGCATTACATCTACAAAATTCCTTAATGCCCCAGCACTCAGTTGTATGTGTGTTTATACAGCCACTAAAAGTTGTAAATTCCACACTTTCCACTCCCCCTTCATTTCAACCAACAGCTATTTCATTGACCTTTCTTTTTCTTTTAACACAGCACTGGTAAAAAGAAGAAAAAGCTGTATCTAAAATTTATAAGCTTTTGACGAATGAAACCTGGCAAGAGCTAAATTTATACAAAACATTGGGAAGCAGTTGGGTAGATCGGTAACTGGAAAGACCTTCATTTGGATTACAGGCATTTTTGGACGGTGTGTGAAAATGTGTGCTGGGAACCACCGGCCAGTAAACTCCATCCAAAGGCAACCATTATGACTTTGCTATGAACTTTGCTAAATCAGAAATTCTTAGGGAAAACATCTGTCCTTTAAACGCTTTAAGCTAATCACAATTATGGTACCGATTCTATAATTTTGCTGGCTTTATGCACACAGGACATCTAGCCCCCGAGAGCTGTAGTTGCATTTAGTTCTATCATCTGCAGAGCAGTTAGTTATGCTGCAGTGGCTTCATTCTTCAGATACATCTGTGCAGACCTGAACATTGGCAGCAGAATTTTTCCTGGGGCTGTCATGTAAAGGCGGTTAGATTGCAAGAGGTAAGGAGAACTTGGCTGGACAGGAGATGAGCACGCACGGATGTACGTAGCAGCTTGCCCTAGTTAACTCTCGGATTCGTTGGTGAAGCTAAGGAACCAGCAGATCGAAATGGAAATTATTTGACATGGAAGGAGGGACTCAAAGGCATTCTGGCAAATATAACATCATTTACTATACAACATCATCATCATAATGCAGCTCTCCCCAGCTCACCATGGAAATGTGTGAAGTTGGAGCTATTACCAAACAGCCAACAACTACAGTCATACCTTGGTTCTTGAATGCCTTGGTACTCGTATGTTTTGGCTCCTGAACGCCGAAAACCCAGAAGTGTTCCGGTTTTTGGATGCCAAACATCCGACACAGCTTCCGCCTGAGTGCAGGAAGCTCCTGTAACCAATTGGAAGCTGTGCCTTGGTTTTCGAATGGTTCCAGGAGCCGAATGGACTAAGCTCGAGAACCAAGGTTCCACTGTAATTGCAAGGTAGGTAAGTGATCTTACCCTATGTAGTGGTGTGATTAGAGTACCAGACCAAGCGTAAGGTGATCTTGGTTCAATGCTCTACTCAACCATGAACCTTACTGGAAGGCTGGCTGCAAGCTGCACTCTCTCAGTATAACCTAAGAGGACTATGATGGAGATAAATGGAGCAGGGTGTGTGTGAACCAGATATGCTCACTGATGTCCTTGGAGAAAGGGCAGGATAAAATATAAATAAATGCTTCCTTTGCAGCTATTTTACAATATGAATTTTGGGAAGATGCCAGAAGAAATAGTAGTGCAATAATATAGCAGTTTTATATCTTCTAGAATGTGAGTCTCTTTCAAGGAAGTTGTGACATTTGAGACTACAAAGCAGTCAAAACAAATTCAGAGTTTTTAAAAATATAGGCATAGGCATAGACCCGAGTGTGTTGATAGGTTGGTTCAGTTAATGCACTAATTTATTTTCCTTTGTAAATATTGACAAAGGTAAAGCAGAGTCAATAATTATGTCTCTGATTAATGAATTGTGATACTTCCAACATTATCAATATAATTTGCTTCTAATTAGCTGTTACAAATATTTGTCCTTGAGTAAACAAAGCATAACCTCTGAAAAGAAATGTAAAGGGATGATGTACCAGCTCCATTGCCATTTGCCATCATTAGGTGCTTTGTTGTTTAGCATATATATGACCTGTAGCCTGATGGCCAGTGTAATTCTTTGTAACTTTGACTAGGTTGAAGCATTCAAGGTGAGATAAAACTGGAATGTGTCAGGTATACTATACACATGATTTAAAGAATTACATTACAGGGTGTATGGGGTATTAGGGCAGGGGGGTAGTACCTCTGGTGGGGGGACATGTTGTGCTCCTTCTGGGATAGTTTGTCCAGCTTTGGCCCCTACCCTGTACTCAGCTCTCACTGGTGGCTCCTAGAAGCTGTCAGCCTGAAACAGCAGCCCCACCCCGGGAAACTTCTTTGACTGGCCAGCTAAACCAAGTGCGGGTAGCTGATGAGTATCAAGCCTTTGGTGAGTTAGGTACTTCCATTGCATGTGAAGACAGGCTCCAGTGGATTAAGAAGACAAGACCAATAGTGGGTCCAATTGTCAATGAAGTTTTAAGAGGAATAAGTGAAAATTAGCTCCTTCTGTTTAACTGACCAAATAGTTCATACAGAGTCTGTAGGGGTTCCCTCAGGGGCAGCCAAGAGGTGCCCTCCAGATATTAGACTACAGCACCCATTATTCTTGACCATTGGCCATGCTGGTGGGGGCTGATGGCAGCTGTAGCTCAGCAAAAGTTGCGGTGCCACAGGTTAGCCACCTTTGTTATCAATGGTTCACCTCTATGGTGACATACTTCTTGCGTATATGATAAAACGTATGTGAACCTATGAATCTACAGGTCTGTGTTGTACTGTTCACCTTGCCCAGTGGCACTGTTCACTGGCAGCAGCTCTCCAAGGATCTTATGCAGAAATATTTCCCAGGGCAATATTGGAACTTGTATATGCATAGAACATGCTTTACCATTGTAAAGGTAAAGGGACCCCTGACCATTAGGTCCAGTCGTGGCCGACTCTGGGGTTGTGGCGCTCATCTCGCTTTATTGGCTGAGGGAGCTGGCGTACAGCTTCTGGGTCATGTGGCCAGCATGACTAAGCCGCTTCTGGTGAACCAGAGCAGCGCACAGAAACGCCGTTTACCTTCCCACCAGAGCGGTACCTATTTATCTACTTGCACTTTGACATGCTTTCAAACTGCTAGGTTGGCAGGAGCAGGGACCGAGCAACGGGAGCTCACTCCGTCACGAGGATTCGAACCACCGACCTTCTGATCGGCAAGTTCTAGGCTCTGTGGTTTAACCCACAGTGCCACCCGCGTCCCCCACCCCTATATTGGAATATAGGATTATTGGGACATAGGCTGTGTGCATTTCTGTATTGGAAGTAGGCTAAAGCTCCTCAGTACCGCAACAGGGCGCAAATTTTGATTCAACCATAAATTGAGCCCATGTAATTCTTTATTCAGATTCTTTAATTCAGATTCCTCCCTTTTCTTAAACAGTAATCCAATATCCCTAGATCTTTGTTTCTGCCCTTTTCTCCTGATTTCTTTTCAAAGTTTTTTCTCCCACCACACTGCCTTGTCTCTTTGCTGAAGAACATTCAGTAGCCGCAAATGAAAAGTGGCCACATGGTACAGAACTGTATAACATTTTAAAAATAAACTCCCCACTGGGGGATTTTATGACGCCGGTTTTATAAATATAAATAATGCAGAAAGGTGATAGGAGACTAATGACGCAACTTATACCTAACTATGGTATATAAAGCCAGGTCAGGTAAATGAAAAGCTAAAATTTTAAAACTTAGTCATGTACGTTTTTGTCCACTCGGAACGCAACTAGCCATATGCTTATGTTCCACTGACAATTACCATTTAAATGTCAGTGTACAAACAGATGCTGGGAATCCTCTTTTGTGCCATTAATTTAATGACAAAAAAAATCCTTTTGGTAATTAACCTTGTTCATGCCAGTGCTGTTTTTGTAAATGAGTTGGTCTTGGTCCCAATGACTCACCTATATCCTGTGACTCATACAAGTAATTGGGGTACCCGGAATGGAGTCTTGAAATATAAGTGACTATGGAAATGGTCAACAGGGGTCAGCAATTAGATACAGGTATAAATATTTGAGCACTCCTCACAACAGCAGCAGTCTTTAACTCATCAGATGACTCAGGTTCTATGGGTTAATTGGTCTCTCTGGAGAGGCTGCTGTGAGACAAGGTTTGCTTAGACCTTAAAACTTAACATTTAAAAGAACCCAACACTTAACATTTTAAAAGCATCATAAGATGAATGCATATTAATCTTGGAGTGAGTAAATGATCCGGTGTTCTCCGCTGTACTTTGAATGCTGCTCTCTAGAATGTATTTTAAAATCCTCAATAAAGATGCAGATAGTAATGAGCTGAGTTTGGAATCCTGTTGCCTGAGGGAGTGTTGTTGAGTCATAAAAAGGAAGAATTGTTAAGGGGAAAGTGACTGCCAAGTTTCTTCTGTTCTGTGCCAGTGAGGCAGAGTTATGCTGTTGGCACTTAATGCGCTACGTTTACTTTGCTGCGACTGTTTTGCTGGTGTGAATGCTATTTAATAAATTGTGATAATTGTTTTTATTTTAACATGAGCACCGCCATGGGTTTTTGTAATAAGCCGGCTTGGGTGTAGGATTATCTGCTTATATGATGTCTTAAATGCTGCGTGGGGCAACAAGGCATTAGGATAATCGACATTTTGGATACATGTGTTTTACGCTGCATTACATCAATATGCAATATTTTTATTTGCAACCATGATTTTTTAATAATGTAGTTTCTGCTGCAGCCTTAGGAAAAATGACTTCTACTCTGGTTTTGTGCTTCTGTAGAGAGTCTAAAAACTCAAATCCTTTGGGACTGTGTAGAACAAAATCCAACCTAATCATGCACTTTTAAGGCTGCAGTTTTAGACCGACTTACCTGGGAATAAACCCCATTGAACTCAGTGGGGCTTGCCATCTGAGTAGACATGTGTAGCCATGCACTGAAAGTCTTACTAATGTGCATGGAAAGATTCAGTGGTGACCTTAACTCTTTCTTGTAAATTACTGGGACTTACTGATTGTGGATCTTTATTACTCAGAGCCATAGGCAACCACAATTCAATATATATACAGTACAGATAGAGATACAAATCAACTTAGCATATTTTATAACTTAAAAGTGTTTTAAAAGTGTTTATGTTTGGCTGGACCATGCCACCTTTTGCAGACAGGAGGAGGGAGGGGGAAAGTGTAGAAATATAAGTGAAAGACTGTTCGTTTTTTACTATGTTAAAAGCTGAAGCTATAGATGGACACTTTGTTCCTGCAAATGCTTCTCTTAAAAGTATGTGCCATCTAATGGCTGTTGTGGTTTGGGTACAGTAATTGGATGGGGGCGGGGGAATGAAACTACCGCTCTCCTTACCTTCTGATTAGATTTGCAGTATTCTGAAAGCACACTAAGCCCCTGACCACTGAATAGGTTCTAAGATGGAGCAGCTGCTCAGTCTAATAGAAAATATTGCTTCCTGTGTTATAAGAGCATTTGCTTTACTGGCCTACATAAAAGTTCACACTGCATTACTTAAGCCCACTCTGCCCATTTATAAAGCAGTAGTAGTTGCTATGCATAGCCTATTCGGTCTCTCTCAGTTTGTCATACTCAGGTTTGTATTGGTTGTACCAGCACATTAAACAGAGTGGAAGGATTTTATGCACTATCGTATTATGGCTTGAATGAGAATATAACAGTTTCCCTTGGAGGCTTGTGGTAATTCCTAAGCATCTGAGCCAAAACGTAAAGTATTTTGGGTTGGGGTTTCCCTGCCTGCCTAACCGCTTGCCACCCCTTCCCCCCGCCATGTTTATTCACATCTCTGCAAAAGCAAAGGATGTGTTTTTTCCCCCTGAGGAAGAGAGATGAGCAATTACTTGTGCTTATAAAAATGACAAAGTTTACACACACAGCCTTCCTTCTGCCCCATGAAAGACTAACCTCTACAGTATCGTGCAAGGTTACTAACAACTCATTTTTCACTTGCTGAATGTACAACCAAGCAGTTTGGTGCCTTCTGAAGAATCTAAGGAAGAACCTTGCATGTGCAACATTTCATACTCTCAGTGAAGGTCAAAGCCAAGAATATAGATAAGAACAAAATCTGACTGTAATGCGGTGTTTTTGTCTTGTTTTATAGTCCCGGATGCTAATTTTGGCACACAGTATTGTCCAAATGGTGTGGGGGTTTTTTTGAAATTGTAATTTGTCCCTGTGAATGTGTCAGTCTGTAATACCTAAGAGACAGCCCGCTGGAATTTTGTTCCAAAACAATATTTTTATTTAATTAAATGTATAACCCACACAACCCTGAAGACTCAAGGTAGATTAACAGTAAATTTGAGAGACTGTGTTTAATTTAAAAGCCAATAAAATACCTTGTTGGTGCAGAATAAAAAACTCAGATTAACAGGCATTAAATATCCCTGCCTTCTGTTGGCCTAAACCAATTGCCGCAAGATAGCTTGAAGTTATGCTATAGCTGTTATAATGCATTGGATACTGTGGAAAACTTGGAAGGGGCAGTGTTCTAGTAAGAATAAGGCAGTGGTACTGAAAGCTCCTCTCTCTATCTAATTCAAAATAGTATAAAACTGGTATTATGATGGGGCATTCTATATCATTTTAAATATATGACAGATATGCGGAACCAACCCATTACTAATAAACTCAGCAATATCTAAATCTAACTTGGTGCCAGATCAGATTTTGAGGGGCTGTCAGGAAAGATGCCTTGAATGAATGATCCCACATGTTCCAATGCTTTTGTCGCTATAAATTTGCTGGACTTGTCCTCGGGGCCCAAGTTTGCTGCTGTTTTCTTTGTTTATGGCACTGCACATCCTTAGAGTGAACAGCAGCAAACAGAAGTAACAGCAGGTTCCTTGAGTTAGCTGTGTGCCTGGCTTGTCCTGCTACTAGCCCTGAACTGACTGCATACAAAAAAGAAAAAGGAAAAAAGGAAATTGTATAGTGACTTTCACAATCCTGGTCCTGTTAGCTAGGGATGATGGGAGTTGTAGTCCGAAAACATCTGGAGGGCTGAGTTTGTCTATGCCTGGCCTAGTTTATAGATTAAAGCATCGTTTCTTGGTTTGGAAGTCACAGGAAACTGTAGTGAAACAAAACTCTGGAACTCTTGCATCACAGTATATGGGACAGCAATCATTCTCGGTTCCATAAACCATGGGAGCAAGATTGTTATGTCTGAACCAAAGCATAGCTTCGTGTTATGACAAATGCCATTTTTTAAAAAGGGTGATCTGGGGGTGATCCCGGAAATTACAGGCCAGCTAGCTGGAAAAAATGGTGGAAAGTATTGTTAAAATAACAAAGCATATAGAAGAACAAGCTTTGCTTAAACTATGCCAGTGTGTCTTCTGCAAAGGCTAGTTCTGTCTCACAAACCTAATATTCTGCAAGAGTGTCCAAAAGAAGATAGAGATGGTCCAGTTTCCATAGTGTACTATGTGCTATTTAGACAAGGTACTTCTCACCAAAGTCTCCTGAGTAAGCTTAGCAGTCAGGGGAATAACAGGAGACGTCCAGGAATTGTGGACCAGGGCAGCAGAGAGCAGGAATAAATAGACAGTTCTTCCGGTGGAGGGATGTAGAAAGTGGGTGAGCAGTGAGGTAACCAACTTTGCTTATGATACTGAACTGTGCAGCGTTGTTTAAATAGATTGTGAAGAGCTCCCTTTCTTTTAGCATTAGAATTTGTGGACGTGCAAAGGAAGACCAGCACAGGCAAAGGAAAGTACTTCTTCTTCACACAGCACATAGTTAAACTATGTAACTAACTGCCACATGAAGCACTGGTGGCCAGCAACTTGTCCAAGGTTGATTGGACAACATTATGGCTATGCTCCATCTCCATGAATGGAGGCAGTAATGTTTCTGCATGCCACTTGCTGGAAACTGCAGGAGAACATAGTTTGCTTGTGCTCAGGGCCTTCTTGTGGGTTGGCCAGAGTGAGAGCAGGAGCTGGAATAGGTGTTATTTCCTTTGTTTCCACTTTTCCTGCTTTTGCTTTTTTTCCTTTTTCTTCACAGCAGTGTGGCCTCCTCATAAACATCCTAGATTAGGGCCCTAATGTTCAGCTGTAATCGAAAAATAGATATGTATATCTGTATCACTTCTACTTTAGGGGAAAGGCCTGCATGGCTTTTTCTCAGGAAAAAAACGACCTTGCCTTCCAGTGTTTTGGTCAATGAACACAGAGGCACTAGGATAGCGCAAATGCCCTAACTTCATAAAGTTATTTAATTAGATGATGATGATGATGATGATGATGTAATACAATGATTGCACATCTTAGCACAAAATTTCTGGCTACTGGCCTAAATTGAAGGTATTCTAAAGGTTCAAAAATAAATTCATTGGCTCCAACTTTTTTTCTTAAAAACAAACAAACGGAGTACCTTTGTTAGATTTACACGCCTTCAGTGACATCTATGCTGTGCCTCATTGATCTTTAGTTCTTGTTAATGATTATGACAGCACAGAGAAACAAGAGTGAGGGCATGACCTCATTGTGCTTTTTACAAGAGGAATGATCAAAGAGCAAGTAGTGATGAAATGCCTGTTTTAAAAGCAGGTCTGTTGTAGTATAAGGAAGGAAACAGACCTGAAGTGAAGCAAGTGCAAACCTACTACAAAATAACTGCTACGGAGTGAGGCTTACTCCTAGGTTAGTGTGCATAGGCTACAATCCTATACACATTTACCAGGGAATAAGTCCCATTGAACTTCCTTCTGAGCAGACTTTTATAGGATTGCATTGGAACAGGGAACACATGCAATCAGAACCATCACCTGGTTCAGTTTTTGCAATTTAAACGAATAGGTAAATTTCTAAAGAGCTAGGAAGCGCTTGTTTGAATAGGTAAATGTACACACGTACACTCACACACGTTTGCCTGCATGTACAGAGACTTCCTGCATGTTAAAAGCAAGGCCTAATTTTGCATGGTCATGGGAACATTCAAAATGCAGTTCTTTACTTTGTGCTTCAATTTAGACATCAGAACAAGCCATGATTGTGCTAACAGCTCACACCATCATTTATTTCCACCATGGTTTAGAATTCTTTAATGCTTTTTCAGAATCAAATACATTCCTATCACTGGACAGCAAGCAGCCTTTTGAGGCAGAGCAATTGCCATAACTATATGGTTTTTGAAATCATAAGCAAATCTCAGCAAACACACTGGTTTACAAAAAAGCTCAAAAAAAATGGTTTTGCAGCCCTTTGCAAATTAGTTTGTGAGTAGTGATGGTAACAAGTACAAAACAAACCATGGTTCAGTAGTGTGATGTGTGAATGTGTTTTGTATGAAATGGTACATACAGTCTAGTAAAAGCAGTCTCCACATGACTCTTCTGCTTGTCTGTTTGGGCTTCAAGATTTGAAGTAATTAAGCGACTTCTCACAATCCCATCTTCCATGTGCTACTAGAAACACAAGGGCATCACATTCATTGTTAGGACATTCTGTGTGTGTGCCTTATACCATCTATGCACTAATTAGGAGCTGGCAAAGAAACAGTGCACCTACCTTGGGTCTGTTATGGGCAGCTGTTGCCATGAGGATGATTGAGGATAATAGGAAGATGCAAAACAGGGAGTATAATATCTACAAACTTAGTCATGTGTTCTTAAGCACCAGTGAGGAAAATGACAAAATGACATTTTCCTTCTGTTTAAGTCCTTTTAACCTTGCTCACCAGCAGGGGGGTAGCCCAGCTGTTAGGCAAACAGTTGCCAGGGGAGGGGAGGTGTGGAAAGATAGACCTGTGCATGCTATATGACCTGCTATGCACTCTCTAAGCCAACCTGCTACCCTCAGGTGTGGTAGAGGATGGTGCTATCATGCTACCATGTCACCAGTAGTCAAGCAAGATGCAACTACCAGTCCAGTTTGATTTTGGTTAGGGAATGCAAAAGGATGCTGTTTGCTCTTTGCCTCTGGCAATCTTGTTCACCAGCTGGTACTTTCCTGTCTGCGAAACCAAACGCACCAAGATGTCTGCTGTTGCAAAACTGTCCCTTGGCATTAAAACTGTACACATTTGTGTGTTTATCTACGGTGTAGTAATGAGCACAGCAAATATAGAAAGGTTTTGATTAACGGAAAATTCTCAGTTACAAAAATTAATCTCTTTTATTAACCAAAAGTAAACATTCAAAACAAAAAGGTTCACAAAACTACTATCACACAAAGGTTATGTTCAATCCTGGCTCTTCCAAGGCGCTGGCCAAAATTTCCCGCTACTTCAATATACATTCATATTTATTGTTCTATCGGCATTGTCAAATTCCTTTACATTCCTCGAGACAACAATATTCCTTTTCCATTTAGAATCCTGGACATCTCAATTGTTCTAACCTTTTTTATTTTAGTGTTCCCATATAATAGTGATTAGATACGAGTCCAGATTAATTTTGGCAAGAGTAAATAAGCATAATGCTTGTGCTCTTGCCAAAGAAGCAGGCTGAGTTGAGTAACTAGCCTTAGAGCAAATAGGAGCTTGAGTAAACGGCATGGTGCAAAATGCACAAATCAATGAAAACATTTGCAATGGTTGGGGAACCTCTGTTATGAAAGTGTTTTGTTTTACACATAAGGCACATTTACTGCAAAACAAGGAACACCATTGCAGGGTAAAGAGGCTGAAAACTTTGGAATTGCATTATAGAGGAGTTTAATAATTAAACAGAATTTTTTAAACACTTTCCCCCATACCACTGAGTGCATCCTTGAAAAAAGAAAGAGGCTCCAAGTACATTCATTTTAATACTATCCAGTTTCTGGGTAGAGATTCCTGTTAGAGAAACATTATCAATCAAAATTTAAAAGCACACAATCCAGTGCATTTTTACTTGGAAGTTGGTCCTACTGTGTTCAGTGCAACTTGGGCTGCAATCCTTGCATACTTAAACTAGAACTAATAGACATTGGCTGTTATCCAGACCATGCGTGTGTTCATCAACTCCCATTGTAGTCTACCAGCTAAAAGCACGATCAATGGGGCCTCCTTCTAAGTAAATGGGGTTAGGATTGCAGCCTAAGAGGCTGAACTACAATCACGGTTCAAGACTCACCACCATTATGAGGTTCAAAGCAAGTCATTTTCTGTTCAGTGGCAGCAATAACAGCGACTTACCTCATAGGTTCCATTGTATGCAAGATAATGAATGGGAAGGACACTGAATATTTTAAAGCTCTATCTAAAAGTGTTTTTGTCAGCTATAGCAGATAAAGCACTACAAGTACCTGGGAGTCTGTCCCCTGTTGCAACCAGCAATTAGCTGTCGTTGTGTGGGCTGGTACTGGATCAAGGACAAATCTAACGTGTTGAAAAACAAAACAAAACTCCAGGGCCTAATAAAGTGGAGAAAATATGTTTATAGGTGACTACAAAATGCATGGGATACCAAAGTTCTGAACATACTTCATATTAACTGCAACTATTTGCCATTTCCATTGTATACTTGAGTGTTTTTTCCCTGTGCCATATTACTTTATATTTTAATTCTACTGGATTTTTTTTCCTGGAAAGCCCATTATATGCTCCTTATCATAAAGAGCCATTCACACAGTACGTAAAAATATCTTTTGTAAGAGAAAAGTTACCAAAAATAATGCCAAATATACAGTTGTATGCATATTTGTATTGGAAAATATAAACAGAATCTGGTCATCTTTTGGGTATTGCCTGCTCTAATATGGCTGTATTTTTTTTTAATAATTGAGGGGGGATGAAGGAAAAGGGAAGGGAGCAGGAACGAGAAAAATATATATAATTTTTTGAGGAATGCACTATCGCTGAAAGACAATGTCTTTGAACGTAACCAATGCCAAGGAGTAAAGAGAAATGCTGTCTTAAATATTATATAATACTTATCGGAGCACAGACTGCAGTGACCTTGAATCAGTGGCTTGCTTTTTCCCCTCACTCGGCTCCTTCTTTTCCCCTTCCTTGGAACAAATTTTGCTACTGGCAGAAGAAGCTGTCAGGCAAAACACTGAAAAATTGGTGTCATTTCCTAGCCGGTAAGTGCAGAACTGATACTAAATATTTTATGATTTGTTTTCACATGCTTTCTCTTTTCTCTTTCTTTGCTTGCAGGATTGATTGTTGCCTCTCTGGCAATATGCTGGCTGCCAAATCAAGTTCGAAGGATCATGGCTGCTGCTAGACCTAAGCAGGACTGGACAGTCCCCTACTTCAGAGCATACATCACCCTGCTCCCTATAGCAGATACGTTCTTCTACCTCAGCTCCGTCGTGAACCCGCTCCTGTACAATATCTCCTCCCAGCAGTTCCGGAATGTGTTTGTTCAGGTCCTCCGTTGTCGCCTGACACTGGAACACGCCAACAAACAGAAGCTTTTAAGAGCCAATTTGAATTCTGCAGCCGATAGCGGCCGCTCGCGGCGCCCATTGATCTTCACGTCATCCGCCATGCGCAAGTCTTCCACCAAGAGCGCTAACAAGGTTTTCTTAAGTACTTTTCAGAGCGAAACCAAGCCTGGCTGCAGTTTGCAGAAATTGAGTCTTGAATCACTGGAGCTGAATGTGAAAACGATGCCACTGGAGACTTCCACAGAGCCTTGCCCTGCTAACCAAAATGGACTTTGTGAACACGAACTGTGAATCCACATTAAAAAAACCAGAGCCAGATGAGACAGTATGCTAAAAATTGGATTTTTTTTTGAAATAAATAAAAAGCACAACAAAGGTTTTTTTGCAGCCTATGTGGTTGCACCCTTCAAGTTTAAGTGCTTTGTTTCAATAGACTACGTTCCCAATAACATAAATGAATATGGGTTCTACATGGGTGACGGCTTTTTTTTGTTTTTTAAGTGCTTACCAGAAAGACAGGACAACTAGACCTAGTTGCTGAGGATTTTTCAAATCAAACTCTTCTTTTAGCAGTTGGAAGCAAACAGCAACATTACAATGGAAACCAGCTGTGTCTGGACAAAACGATGCCAACAACAACAAAAAATCTTCCATTAGAGTTCAGCAGTGTACTGGTGTTAAAAATGCCAAGCTAGAGAGCAGTATGGTTGTTAATACACCAGCCCTGGGCATGGTGCCAGAGTTTCCTCTCTTCTTTGGCCTGGGCCCATTGCAGAGTGGAGTATTGCAGCAGCTTATACAAACAGAGTTTATCTTCCCTGGAGTACAGAAAGTCTGGTATCCGGCAGAGGTCATGAGGCAAGCTGCAGAGGATGCGCAGGACTTGCGATACAGGATCCCTGTGACACAGAACAAAAGTTTATTTAGCCTGATATGAACAAACATGCTTTCTACTGTATGTTAGCTCTTTTTTTTATTTAAACAGACTGCCAAGTTTTCCGTAATAGTGGTTCTGATTCTCAGCGCGTTTCCAAAGGATTTAGCCCACCATCACCTGTTGTGTGTCTTAGCAGGAAATGTAGGGCTTTAAATAAATGGCACTATTCTTAAGTCCCCCCCCCCCTTCTGCTTTTGCTTTCCACAAAGCCTGGAAAATGCAAAATCAATACATTTGGGGCATACAGCACTTAAAACTTTAAAAGTTGTACCTATTTAAGATTTGAGTACATGTAAGTTTGATCACATTCCAAACAGCATTATGGGAGCTTAAGGAGACCCACGATTGTTTTTATGCTTCTGATTTGCAACGTGCTAAAAGGAAGTTCTCCTTTTACACACTTTCTGCAGGGAGGAAATGAGCCCCAAACAAAGAAAAAGCTCATGGGAGAATTTGGAGTCTACAGAGCAATACTCACAAACACAAAAGTTATAAATATTCTCTCTCTCCATCCTTGTAACTAGGCTGCTGTAGGAAGTTGGATAAACAGAAGTCAGAACGAAATGACTTGCCTTGTAAGAAGCCCTCTAGAGACTGTTCTGCACCTTTTTTTAATTGAATGCGTGTAATATGTACATTAAATATGTATTTTAAATTTTACGTGTGTGTGTGTGTACAATACAAATACACTCACACAAACCAAATTGGTTCAGAGGGAGTTAAGAACAGCACACAGGGTGGGGGGCGTTGTTCCATCTGGCAAGCTGTTATGCAGACAGAATGTTTGTATTAACACAGTGTTGAATTCCACCTGATCCATAGAACATTGCATGGAAAACCACATTTTATGAGCAGGAAAATGGAACAGAACAGACGAGTTTTACTAAACTTAGCAATCCTGTGAGTAAAAGCTGTAAGCTGCACCGCACACACTAATAAAGAGGGCTACGTTATTAGTATATTACGTTATATACGTTCTATGTATTAGAACCCAGGCATGCTACCCTAAAAGGTTCATGATTTTGGAGACAATACTCTTGGAGAATAAACTTCCATAGCTTGTGGGAAATACAACACATGAGAAACTTGAATTGAAATGGAATTTAATGGAAATGGAGTGGACACCCCCCCCGCCCCACATAGCAGATACTGTATACTTATGATTAAGGTTTATTCACTTGAATTGGGTTAGTGGACCAGCCTACAGTTAAGTCTATGGTATTATGTATATGGACCATGTACACAGTCCAATTAAATCTAGGAAATGAGAAGTCTGCCTGCTTTACTAATGTAAGTCTTGACAGCTGTTTATGCTTATTATAATTTATTGGTTTCCTTCATTTATGTAGCTGCATTCACCCAACAGTTTTATTCCATTTCCCCAAACTGTTAATTCCCAGATCATATTTGAGTTTCCACACAACATAGAAGCCATTTCCAGAAAACTAATGGAACACAACACAGATTAAGTGCTCTTTCTATGTTACTTAGTTCCAGGGGAGGGAAATCCCCCCTGACCTAGAAAATCATGGAAGTGACTAAATTTGGATAAGTATACCAGCATATGGTTCTTTCCTGCTGCTTTCATGGTTGAATCATAGACAAATAGAAGCCCACACGTGTGGGAGGGGTGGTGGAGCAGTGAATGAATATTCAATGACATTCATTGTTGGGTCAAACCACAACTGGTGTGAATGAAATTTAGCATGACATACAGGTATAGAGGTCAAAAAGCCACAGTTCCATAACAAAACTAGTATTGCAGTCTGAAATGAACACTGGAAAGCAGGACAGAAGCACTAGCATTATAATCAGGAATTGTAGCGTTGAAAGGGACCCCAAGGATCATCTAGTCCAACCCCTGGCAGTGCTGGAATATGCAGCTGTCCCATACTGGGATTGAACCTGCAACCTTGGCATCAGCACCACACTATAACCAACTGAGCTATCCAGGTTTTATGCAATATTCATCATGTATGAGTACACCAGTAATCAAGAAAATACATGCATATAGGGTGGCTTATTCTATTCTCTTAGTAAAATACCGGTAAGTATCTTTCTACCTTTTTTATCCTACTTAGTGGATAAAGATTGAAGCCACTTTCAGACACGTTTCTAGCAGAACACTTGCAAAAGCTCCCTACACCAGTAGGTGACGGTTATACCAACTTCTGCCTAACTGGGTTGGCTTTGGCATGGTGTGGATTGAGATTAACCCCACTGTAAATGGAAGGGCTTCCTCCTTTCATTCGCAGAAGAGACCAGGATCCAGTAGGGCTCTATGTCAGAGGAAAAGATGGAGCAATTTTTGCTAATCATACCTGTCTCATCACCACCCTCCAGAAATGTTCCAGAGGATTTCCCAACTCCCCATAACACCTTTTCATGAGGCACAGGGGTATGGCAACAGGCAACAATTGCCTCCTCAACCCTTCAGCATGAGTGGAACTCTGCTCATCACAAGTCCAAACTCAGATATCTAAGCTAGGTGTCAAATGGCTACTTAAACCACATTTAACCTCACCGGAATATCTAGTTGCCACTTTAGGGCAAGATAGGTCTAAAGTCTTATTTTTCAAATAATGGACTGACTCTGATTGATTCTCAGTTAAACACCCGGCTAGCTCAGATGACAAACTTGAGCCAGGTTAAGAACTTTGAGAACTTAAAGAAAAGTAGTCACTTTATCCTGGGGCAGTCCACATATATATGGCCTATTTCTACCTCTTTTTCTAAACGGTGACACAGTCTATTTATAACATAAGAATATTCTTCACAACTACGAGCATAGTGGTGGGGTGGGGTAAGCAAAGACAGGCCACAACATTTAGCTATAACGTTACTCACTTTTCCTGCCCAAGCTGCGCAGAAAAAAGCATTTTGGTTCCTGATAGTCATTCCAATTGTGCAGATCCTACAGAATGTGGTATTGGTGTGTGAAAACAGTTAACATCCAATGATCTCCAGATGGTGGAGATGTCAGGCACCATGCTAGTGCCCAGGCATCTTCACTTGGTCGCAGGTGGCCAGTAAGGTGCAAAATGCACTTGGCACCTGGCTAATTTCAAACACGGAATCCAGACCATTGTGATCAGCATCCTTGCAGAACGTGAATTTTACGGGAGATTACTATTTCCTGCATTGTTGCTGGCACGTGGTCATGGCAGCTGCAGCAGGCACAGCTCTTTACAGCAGGGAAAGAGAACCTGCGACTCCCCAGATGTTTGGCTCAAATTCCAGTCATTCCCAGCCAGCCTTGCCAGTTATCAAGGGTAGGAGCTGTAGCCCAGCTGCCTTTAGCACATCTGTGAGAATTGCTGCAGATATACTAACAGAGGGCCTGAGATGTAAAGGAATTCAAGACCAATTGCTCTGCAAGAAATAAGAATCTCAAAAAAGGGCATATCTCCTAATTGCTTAAGGAGTTCACTATGGATTACCAGAGCTTGTTACACATGCCTCACTCCGCAGCTAAAGTCACAAAAACAAAATAACTAAAGGATCAAAATGCTGCCACATAGCTATGCCTCCTTGTGTGCAACAGATAATAAGGGTTTTCAATTGTAAAAACAAGTCATGTATTTATTTCCTTCACATTTTGCACAGTAACAGCAGATGAAAGAGACCATATCAGTCCTTGAAAGCTGAATGCAAACTGAAAAACCTCAGGTGAAAGGTTTCATATCTGTCTTTCAGCGGTAACAATCCTGCAGCTACTTAAAAATCTGAATAACACAAAGAGCCAAATCAGGTAAAATGCTCATAAAATGTAGCTCAATGCCAAGCTTTTCATTTAGGGCATTGGGATGAGCTGTGTTTAATCCTTCTATTCAAAAGACCTAACGGTGCAACAGCTGAGCATCCAATCAAACCTGCAGGAATTCATCTTTCAGTGGCAAACACTCTGAAACCATCAGTTCCATGCTGGCATTTCAGTCACATTGAACAACAAATGCAGCAGTGGTAACTCACTAATCTGCCATCTAATGTCACTTTTATCATCCATTACCATAAACTGAACAGCTCATCTAGAAACATCTCATAGAAACAAATTATCACAAGTGAAACCTTTTGCATTTCACAGGACAATGATACGGCACATAGTGTCTATGGTCATGACAACTAACAAAACTTTGCGATGTCTGGTGGAACAATTGGCATCTTCCCACACAAGCTGCAATCCAGTGCACACTTACCTGGAAGCCCCACTGAATTCCGTGGGACTTGCTTCTGCATAAATGTGAATAGGATTGTGCTGGTATAGTAGCTCAACCAACCTGTCATTAAATGTGTCTGCTCATTTAATACCTTCCTCGAGAGACTATGGAGTCTTCAGTGCCTCTGTGTTAGTCCCCTGATCTCTTTTCCCAATGCTGTTATGTCTAGAAAAAACTAATTCCTAGGAGTGCCTCTGGGCTAAGCAATAATTTTAAAAGGGAGCAAGTTTCTTCCTTTCATTTCTTCTTTCTCTCTTTTTTTTGTAGCATAGCACCAAACAACACGTTCAGGTTGCAGAAACCAGAAATCATATACACTGGAGTTTTCTTGATTTCTGTCAAGTTAGCACACTGAGATGGGTCCATACAAAGTTAGCTCCCCTTGGGACTTATTGTCATCAGTATGAGAAGTTAGTAATGATTTAACTTAAAACTCATAGATTGCAATGGAAGATAAATGCAACTGACTCAGTTTAGTTCCAAGCCACTGGAATTACAAATGCCAAGATTGTTTGCATCTAAAAAGACATACTTTGTGCTCCCACCTGAAATATCACTAAAAACCTGAAAGCTAGGTGTGGCAGCTCCAATGTTATGCAACTTCCTCCCCCAAAGATGCATCTAACACCTTCATTATGCAATCCACGTCATATGCTGCAGATGCCCTGGAACTTCATTGTGAATGGTGGGTAAGAAATCGAAACTATACCGAGTACCGACCAATAACTTTTCATAAATTACCTGTGTTGTGAAATAAATTTTAGCTTATGCAAGTTGGGCTTCACTACTGACTGAATAATAATCAGCGTGTACTATGTTTCTCCTTAACTACATTTCTAAAAAAGCAAGAACTGTTTTTACCAAATGGTGCTATCCTAATACTAGAGAAAAGGTGAGGACTGGATTCCTAACAGGAGCTAACCCATCTTTGTATTCTTGACTTGGAATTTGATGAACATCCTTTGGCTTTGATAGTTTTGCATTGCTTATACTACAAATAAGTTTCTACTCAGAAAGGAATGTCACCGTGTAGCTAGGTCTACTGGATGTGTTGAAATGACACAGAGACCCATTCATAACCAACCGTTGAATATATGTCATGGGATATTTTCCCTTGTTCTGGCCTGGCCAATCGCCATCTGTGGCCAAGAAACAGGTTAGCCATACAAAGACCAAGTCACCAAGTAGATTCTAGTTTCCAGTGTCTACCCATTTCCTTTATCCCTCTTGCTCTGTGGTCATTATCCTTTTATGATCATAAAGCCAATTCATGAAACGCTCTCTTTCCCCATTATGTATTGCACTGATGACAGCTCATTTAGGAATATAAAATGGGTGGCAGAATCTTTTGTTGGGAACTTCTGCACCAGATGATACCAAAAAGCAATCCATGTCTTAATGAGAACTAATTTGAACCAAATAATTATGCTATATATATAGATAACTGCACCACATAATGCAATAAAACTGTTAGCACATCTGCAAAGCTAATGGGTCCAGTACGGTTTCAAATTGGATGGGGACCATTTGTTGAGGTCCCTGCATTGCAGCGAGCTGGACTATATGACCCTTGGGATCCCTTCCAACTCTACAATTCTATGATCCTATGATAATATACAGCCTCCATCATTCCTCAATAAAACTCAATGAACCTCCAGGTGGGATTGTGCCCTGTGTTCCACTCCAGGACAACCCCACCAACAGAAATGTATATTTTTTTTTAAAAAAAATGAAGATTCACCTTCCCCACTGGCAGACTCCTCTACAGCATCTTAATTCCATTTGCACACAGAATTAGTCCTTCCATTTGTGGAAGTCTAATTAGGATCCAGGCCCTAGCCTTTTTACATGGAGAAATTTTTGCATTACATTTTCTCTCTCACTCTCCCAACTCCCTCTCTCATTTGCCGACTTGGTCATAATTCATGTCAATCTCTGCTGCCTCCATTAAATTTAATTTTCAGCACATCATATAGACAGGCTAGTAATTAATAATTATTCTTTTCTTAATGATACACTTTTGTGATTTATGACTGTTTTCTCTTGGATGTTATTCCCATTTGTTTGTTCATAAAGACAAGATTGAATACCTTGTGCGTAAACTGATAAAGGCTTTTCAGCTCACTCCTGATAAGGGTCTCCTGTAAATGGGCCCATTTATCTCTCCTTTCTCAAACTTTCTCGTGTGTGTGTGTGTGTGTGTGTGTGTGTGTGAGAGAGAGAGAGAGAGAGAGAGAGAGAGAGAGAGAGAGAGAGAATTTCTTTTAAAGCATTTGCTTTGATGGACGTGTCAATCCACACTTACAAATTACCTGTTCTTTCTTCCCCTCCAGATAGTATTCCTTACCTCCTCTCAAATTACATTGTGTTTAGTTCTAACTAACCAAAATTTTAATATACAGTTGCAGAACCACATTCAGATCTTTTAAAATCGCATTTATATTCCACCTTTTCACTAAGGCACTCAAAGAACCATGGTGTACACGGTTCTCCTCCTCCTGCTGGGGGATGCTCAGCGTAGTAGACTGAGAGGCAGTGACTAGCCCAAAGTCTCTGAGTGAGTTTCATGGCTGAGTGTGGATCTGAACCCTGGACTCCCGGGTTATAGAATCGTAGAGTTGTAAGAGACCTGAAGGGTCATCTAGTCCAACCCCCTGCAATGCAGAAACCTCGGCTAAAGCATCCATGACAGATGGCCATCTAACCTCTGCTTTAAAACCTCCATACTGCTGGCAAGTCCAAGAATGTATGGACAGCATATCAAAGTTTTGTCTTTCTTATAAAATAAATGTACTGTATGCTGGTAAATTTAAGGAGAGCCCTGCTGGATCAGGCCACAGACCTATCTAGTCCAGCTTTCCATTTCCCACAGCAGCTATCTCTGGGAAGCCTACAAGCAAGCTATGAGAGGGACAGCGCTCTCTGGCTGTTGCTCGCTAGCAATTCGGAGGCACAATACCTCTGATACTGGAAATAAAAGAACCTGATCAGGATTAAGAGTCATTAATCTGTCTCTTTTAAAGCCATCCAATTATGCACCAATCGCAACATCCTGTGGAAATGAATTCCCAAGTATTTCCTTTTGACTGTCTTGAATCTCTCCCACCCTGCAGTTTCATTAGCCAAACCTAGGTCCAAGTAGTATGAGAGAAGGAGAGAACCTCTCTCCCCACTTCCTCCACACCATGAATTATTTTATCCTTACTCACGTTTTTAATAAACCATAAATATTGGGACCTTTTTTCAAAAGGGAGTTGTCTCAGACCTGATCACTTTGGTCCCATCTTAGCAACATCTACAATATAGAGAAAGGACCGTATCTCAGAAGGTATGTGCAGAAGAGGGCATGTTTACCTGGAAAAAGAGGAGATATGATAGCCATTTTCAAATATCTGAAGGGCTGTCACATAGGACTTGAGGGTAGGACTTGAACCAATGGCTTTAAGTTGCAGGAAAGGAGATTCTGACTAAACACACGGAAAAACTTTCTGACAGTAAGAGCTGTTTGACAGTGGAACAGTCTCCCTTCGGAGGTTGTGGACTCTCCTTCCTTGGAGGTTTATAGGCAGAGGTTAGATGGCCATCTGTCATGGATGCTTTTAGCTGAGATTCCTGCATTGCAGGGGGTTGGACTAGATGACCCTTGGGATCCCTTCCAACTACCCAGAACAATGTGGACAGGAGGAAAGAATTGTTCCACCTGGCAAGCAGAAATGCTTGCATTGATGAAATAATCATAAGAATGCAATGCTGAATTCCTCCTCACAGTATTCCAAGACTTTATACAGGTTTGCATAAAGGCAGTAAGATATTGCTTGTTTCATTTTCAACCATTTCCCTAATGGTCCCTGACAGGGAATTGACCTTTTTAATAGCTGCCACATAGAGTGTTTACACTAAACTGACCACAATAACCCCATGATCCCTTGCCTGGTCACCCAGCCTTTGGTATACATGTGAAGCTATCATTCTTTTGCACCAATGTGCAACGCTGATAGTTTCCTTATATTCCCAAATAATTAATCATGTGAGATGAAACTTTAGTACAAAATTTAAAATTCTGTAAGTATTCATTCCTGAAGATGAAGACTCTGTTTTCTGTCACCTTTTCTATTCTGATACTTTGATCCATTCTTTCAGGTCCAAATAACAGAGTAGAACAGACATATTCTCAGGTATATAACCTACAAGGAATCTTTATAAAGATTCCGAAATGACTCTGAAAAGCAGACTCTCCCTATTGGATATACAGGGTGAGTCTTTTAAAAGACACCCTGTGGAACATGTGTACTCTGTATTCACGGGGCCTCTTTTAAAGGACTCACCCTGTATATATTATTTTATTAAAAGATTTTGAAACAACACCCTTCATAAATTAGTAATCAAGGTAGTGTAAAAGTAAGACCAAAGAGATCAATACCTATGTAGACACAACCATAAAATAGAGTACGTGATGTGTCCTTTTACCAAATATATTCTCATAACCTTTGCTATAGCATTTCTCACAAGAATCCCTGTCTATCGTTGTTGACCAGTCAGAGCAAGCACTGTTTTCATATATTTTATCCAATGGAACTCAAAATGTATTAGAAGTGGGGGTGATGCAGTAGCATTGTGTATAAAAAGCAGCACACTGTTTAATTTGTGTAATGTTTCACTAAATTATTACCATTCTGCTTTAAGAGTGAGATGCTTCTAGTAACTCTTTAACATGCTTTCCTTATGTACACAAATGAAGTAATCCGTCAAATAATCTGTTTTGGCAGGAGGAATTTTTATGAGATAAGATACTACATTCCTCGAAGGGCTGATTTATGCAAGGGCTGATTATGTGGCAAGCATTCCTGTTGTGTGTACACTGATGATTGCACTGCCTAACACCATAAGCAGTAAACAAAATGTACACATCTCCAAAATGTCAGGGGTAAGCAGTGAATAATCCAAAGGATGCTGCTGTGGGACTACTGCAGTTTCCCAGGAGTGTTTTAAGATATTTGTCTTCCCTTCATGAGTTTACTGTATAGTGTTCAGCACAGCAAACATGGGTGTGCAAGAGCATCTTGTGTAGAATGAGCACGTATATATTCTACATGAGATGCTCTTGCACACCCATATACAGTATTCCTATATGCATTTAAAAAAAATGTAAGGCTGTCACTACACCGCTCACAATGGAGGGTTGTGTTGTTTTTTGCCGCACTACTAGATTTGCATAAAGTCAGCAGGAGCAGGGGATAAAAGAGATGGCAGGTTGCGCAACAGCAGAGCCCATGTGATGGGAGTGAGAAGAGAGATCACTGAAAATGAAAAGGGGGTGGTTTAAAACAACAGCAGAATAAAGCAGAGATGGAAGGAGACAGAGGAGATTGGTGGTTTTAAACAGCAGAGATTTAAATAAAGCAGTGATGGAGCAACACAGAGGGGGAAAACATTTGAAACAATGGGAGAGATTTGAGTGAGCAGGAGGTGACACAGGGGGAAAGGGACAATGTTTTCATACAGCAAGAAGGGAGTTACTCAAACTTATGCCATTGTTTGAGCAAAGCAAGAAGAACAGAATGCCGAAAAGAAAAGAAAAATGGCTGTCCTGAACTTCTCCCTCTTCATCAACTGCCTCATGTGAGAAAGATAAAAGTTGCAGGAAAGGGGGAAGGAAGGAGATATTGGAATTGGGTTGAAGATTAAAGTAGGGGTGTGGAATGGCCCGAAGAACAGGAAGGGGTGGAGGCTTGTAAATTGGGAAGATGAACAGGGTGCTTAGTATTTGCATTGTGTGGGAGGGAAGAAGATGCAGGAGCTCAACATGGGGGTGGTTTGTATGGGGGGGTCTTAAAAAATCAGCTAAAGTCTATGTTGTCCGACTATCTCCTTCCTAAACTTTCAAGCAAACCATATATGGCACTGACTTACAGATACATGTATGGCTCATAGTGTACAACTCAATTAACGCCACAGATAAATGGCTGTATCCATGATATTCCTAATGCAGTTGTAGGTTGGGCTACTGCCACATTTCTACTATATAATGAGATCCAGCTTTGGAGACAGTGTGGGGATTGGCATGCTGCTTTTATCTGTGGAGTCATTGAAGCAAAGTTTAGGCATGTTGTTTTCCTCAGTTGTTCTTAAGCCTTCTTGTAAATGGTATACGGAACCATTTTAATGTGCAATCCCATATGTGAATGAAGTCTGGATCCATACCCTGATTGTCCAATGACGTTTAGGAAATTTGGAATATGCCATTCAGGTACGCACGCAATTAACCTCCCTGCTACACAGATTGTTCCTCCTTTCCCCTTCCATTGTTTTCTTTAACTGTGGTGTACCTTTACGTCTAAATCAGTGCACCAGCGAGGATTGCTCTCATCACCAGATTTGCAAACCTCAGTGATTGGTATTGGTATTGGTGTGTGTGTGTGTGTGTGTGTGTGTGTGTGTGTGTGTGTGTGTAGAATCTTGTTATAGTTAATCTAGGCACATATGCATATTTAAAACAACACTGAAGTTAAAACAACAATGGAAAGATGGAATTTATGTAGGAAAGGCTATGTGAGCCCATAACAAAATGTCTGAGCATCAAGACTGAGAATATGACATTGACATCTACAGCCACCACAGTTTTATGAGACAGCTTCCTTATATCATTGTTTTGTCTGCAAACAGCACCCTACCACTGATTGTTTGAAGTGCTTTCAGTTCTTTTTGACAGCATCATTAGCAGTAATAGTACTATAAAATTTCTAGCCCTTTGGTGTTTGGGGTTTAGCAGTGGATAAGAGTACTCAGATGTTTGCTCAGAGATCCGACCAATAAAATGTAAAGGATTGCTGGCATTAAATCCACTTGTCACTATAATAAACTTTTAGAAGGGAAGGGGAGTGTAGTGCATAGATCTGGGTAGGTCACTGCAAATTGTTCTGGAATTTATTCATTTATATGTGAAATTTAAACCACACTCTAGTAGTCTGGAAGCTTAGAACTGAACTGCTAAGATAGCAGCCTGTGGGCACCATATCTGATCATTGTATATCCCCTCAGAACAAGTCCAAGAAATGGAAAAACATAAAAAGCTATTGTCCATATCATTGTGAGAAATTAAAGTCGCTCAACCAGAAATTGCAACTTCCTTTTAAAATAATCCATCAATTTTTTGCATTTTTATTCTTTTCATGTTTTTTTCCAAATCATAAACTACTTCAAGTCAACTTCTAGCTCCATCACTGCTTTACTGTGTTTAAAAGTACTAAAAAAAAAAAGCAATTTATTATAAGCTCTCCATGGTTTCACCTTATCTAATGCACTTAATTTAGTTCATCTCCTGCTTCCTTTGTAGTGTTACAGGCAACCGTAAGATTGGAAGCAATTTATTAATAAGAGAACATGCCCTACAGCTTTAGCATCTGAAAACACTTCCTGAATGGTAATATATCTGAAGCTCAGAATTTATAGCATATAGTGAAAGTTAATAACATATACCATAATTCTTTTATTGCATGCAGCCTTGTTTATCATCAACAGAAAGGAGCTGGGTGCTTCAGATATGGGCAACTATAAAGTTATTCCAGACAAACACTGCCAGTAAGGAACTGGCTGCAATGCCTCTACAGTGGTACCTTGGGTTAAGAACTTAATTTGTTCTGGAGGTCTGTTCTTAACCTGAAACTGTTCTTAACCTGAGGTACCACTTTAACTAATGGGACCTCCCGCTGCCACCGCCGCGCCATTTCTGTTCTCATCCTGAGGTAAAGTTCTTAACCTGAGGTACTATTTCTGGGTTAGCGGAGTCTGTAACCTGAAGCATCTGTAACCTAAAGCGTCTGTAACCCGAGGTACCACTGTAGTTGGTGAAGATGTCCAGGAGCCAAGGCAGCAAATGTCCCTGCTTCTCCCTCTGGGAAGCCTATTTCATTAATAACTTATTGGAAGAGATGCACATCTCCTCATCCTTTCTTGTTAAGCCTTACCACTCCAGTACGATGGAGTATCCTGTACAAATGCATTTTAAACTGTGTAATACGGAATGCATGCCCCATTATTTTTAAAAGGACTGTATTAAGGAGAGGACTGTGCTTCTAAGCAAAAAAGCCCTCTTACCAGTGCAGACTCCTGGGAAGTAACCCCCCCCCGCCCCGGTAGATTTACATCTATTTTATTTTTATATATTAATTTTCATGGCACCCTTCATCCAAGGATCACAGGGCGGTTTACAATATCTACACACACAGTATTTAATACAGAGTTTAAAAGTTAATGTGCAGCTCAGGCACATTAGTGTGAGGGCCTCCCGAGAAATTATTCTGATCCTCCACTCATTGATTTGGTGGCAATGGTGAAAAGAAAAACCATTGAAGTAGACACAGCACTGAAGTAGGTGGACACAAAGATGTGGATACAAAGAACCATCTCTAAAATCATCATGTCAATCATTTGATGAGCAGGGCAGAAAAATAAACCTTTCTCAACTGATCAGAGGCGTACTTAGGCGCCCTTGTGCCCTTGGCAAGAAGATATATTGACACTCCCCCTCAGGCTCTTGGCAATCGCTGTCCATCTCCCCCCCCCCCACAAGCCCCTTCTAATAGCGCCAACCAGAGGTGCCCAGAAGTGTCTGCGGGGGCCTGGTCTGGCCCCCAGAGAAGTTGAGGAGAAGCTGGGGGAGCACATGGACAGGCTCCTAGCCACTCTGAGCCACAGTCGAAAGGTGTGATTTGGCAGGAGCCAACCTGCGACTAATCTACTCAGGAGGGGAAAACTGTGTGCCATTGTGTACAAATAAATGAGGTTGTGGGAGAGCCACTTCCCCCAAGGATTGGCTGAATTAAGTCCTTGGGCCAAAAAAAATGTTAGCCACCCCACTGTACATTATTGGAGTGTTATTTTACTTTCTCCATTGACCTCTTATGAGCAATGTGTTCTAAACAGGATTGAATCTTTTAAAAATGTGGAGAATGAACAGCCAAGTTACAGACCATGCTGCCTTTCATGGGATACCAAAGATAAAGCAATTAGCTCTGAATATTAATGACTGGAAGGTTCTCACATATGTTGAAATTTTTCAGTTTTTAAAATGATGTCAATATGTAAATGTGAGTAATATACAATTTTTCAGCCTTTCTTAAGTAAGGGGGGGGGAATGTGCACCTTTAACATAGATGCAACTAGTATGTCACCTTTTCCCGGGAGAGGTTCCTCCACCTTTTGACAGGTGGGTGAAAAACAAAAACTCAGCAACTGATTGTTTTGTACTGCAGCTGTACTGTAGTAAAAGCTTCACTAGATATATATATTTGCTCATCATGGTCATAGTAAGGCAAAACTGAATGCAACAGCCGTTGAATTACACATGCAGCAGATCAATGAGTTAAATAATTAAGGGGAACTTTTTCAAAATTAGTTTTTCTTTTGGTTTCTGATAATTAGTACGAAAATAACTTGTTTTGCAGAGCTTTAAAAACAGCATTTATTAATCTGCACTGTACCCAGTTTCCTAACATACTAGCTGAAGTGCACAATTACAGTAATTGCTTTAATTGCACTGCAGCATTTTATACAACCTTGCATGCACAGGAAAATGCCACTGTAAACTGAACAAATGTATTTTTAAAATCCCAAACATTTAATTTAAGGGAATCATGTTGCTGGTAAATTCAGTTGCAGTAGAAATTCAGCTCTCTGGTCTGTTTGTCATTATGGCTTCTAGTTTTTCACTTTATTATTTTCTTTTTTAAAAAAGTAAAGTATTTAAGCCCAAGCCCATACCACTATTTTTCAGGTTCTCTTACAAATGATATAACACAGCTTATACCCGAAGAATGGAGTAGAAACAATGGGAAATATGTGCTTAAAAGCCGCATAACAGTAAAAGTTCAGAAACCGTTTTTTTTATATTATATATATATATATATATATATATATATATATCACTAGTTGGATAGCCACCTAACCCCCCCTTTTTTTTTCTTCCTTCTTCCTACTCTCAATTTCTTTCTCCATATTTATTTGCCATGATGGGGAAATTGAATTTAGACAACTAATATCAAGAACCAAGCTCCCAAAGTACTCTCCATGGGATATGCTTTGCACTCCATGCTGGGATGAAAATACTGTATATTGATGGCAATCACTAACTGCCACCAGCTTTGTTGCTGAATACTTTCCTTAATTAGCGATAAATATTTGTCACAATTACAAAAGCTAGTTTGCACTGCGTTTCTTGAAATTGCAATGACAGCATTTTTTTCAGGCATGCCTACTTATAAGTAAGTCCTACTCAATTCAATGGCACTAACCTCCAGGAAAGTGTATATAGAATTGCAGCCTACGTCTGAATTCTTGCACCCTTTTGCTATTCTGATCATGCATTTCACTAACAGAGAGAACTTCCTTGTACAGTGGTACCTCGGGTTAAGAACTTAATTCGTTTTGTGAGACTGTTCTTAACCTGAAGCACCACTTTAGCTAATGGGGCCTCCTGCTGCCACCGCGCCGCCGGAACACGATTTCTGTTCTCATCCTGAAGCAAAGCTCTTAACCTGAAGCACTATTTTTGGGGTTAGTGGAGTCTGTAACCTGAAGCGTATGTAACCCGAGGTACCACTGTAGTTGTATGGTAGCATGTGGTGTATTTATATTTTATTTATCATTAGTTCACTTATTTCTTATTCAAAGCAGCATACAAAGGATTCCCTTATGCCCAGACCTGAGCCCTCCTTACCTTACATGTAATAGTACATGCTTGTGTGACTCAAGTTATGAAATTTGCCTTGAAATCTAAGCAACTTTGAAGGCAAGTTCTCACATTTTGAAAATATCATTGTCAGCTAGCAAAGTTTTATTAAAATGCCATTAAAATACGCAACTCTAAACTCACTTGGAACCAATTCCCGTTGAGTTCAATGGAATCACTTCAAAATATGCCTAGTTAGAATACGACTTGTGCAAGTATGTGTTCCTAGTGACCCTGGGAATGACTGTACACCTGGTAAGATGTTCTTGTTTTATGGTCTTCTCCACTAATAGCTTCCTGGTCTCAAAGCAAAGAGGGCATTAGTCCTTAAAAAGAAACTGGTGATTTCAAATGGTTCAGCCTCAGTTTGCAAGAGCACCACTAATAATTTTATTATTTATATGCCATTCATATAACTGTTCTTATCTTGTGATGGTGCATTGGCATGCTTTACATCAGGCATCCCCAACCTTCGTTCCTCTAGATTTTTTGGACTACAATTCCCATCATCCCTGACCACTGGTCCCGTTAGCTAGGGATCATGGGAGTTGTAGGCCAAAACATCTGGAGGGCCACAGATTGGGGATGCCTGCTTTACATCGTTCTCCGAGTACAGTCTAAAGACACTTCATACAGCCAGCTTGCTGCACCACCTAGGTATGGTCAATACCTGGATGGGTTATCCCCTTGGGGGATGCTGCCTTGAGTTGTATGATAATAAGGCAGGCAGGAGACAAATGATATATATCTCACAGGTGCAGCTGGTGTGAGAATCAGACTATAGATTTGGAAGGGGAATTCTGTCTTATTTTATTTAGTTCATTCAGCAACAGAATACCCTTATACTCACATTATTGTCCATGATTTGGCTGTGTCCCTCCATTTTAAACGTACTAGATATCCTGTGCCTCTCTCACAATTTAGAATTTATTTTGGCACTCACTGCCAAAGCTACTGTTCCATTGACACTACTTCGCCTTCTTCTCTGTTCTGCTGGTTTCCTACACACATCAGTCTGAGGTTTCGCACATGCAAAATATCAACCAGAATATAATCCATAACATGTCTTTACACTCAGTCACCCTATTTACCTCTCTACATGTATAATCTAAACTCCTTCATCCTCCACTATCTCTGAAAACTTTGGGTTGCGTCCAACAGCTGGCTTTGAACTGCTAAGCAGAAAGCACTGCCACTTACGTGAGGAAGAGTATCCCATTTTTACCAATTTCCTCCACACATCTACTGCAGCCCATCACACTCCTTATCCCATACTATTCCAGAGTGTTCCACAGCTGTCAAGAGCAGCATTGCATGGGACAATTTGTAGGTGGAATCAACAAAAATCAGGTGTCTCACTTTACAGAAGTGCTTTTCGCTAGTGAAAATCCACTATTTCTACAACCATTTGGTCTCTTTAATTAGGCAATGAAAGTATGTTGCATTGTTTGTAGAAATGTCTACCCAGTAAGCCTGATGTGATTATTTTATGGGTTGCTTAGTATCCACACTAAATAATCTATAATCAAAGCTATTACTCTGTTTTTAAATTTGGATTTTCTGAAATTTCTCTGTCAGTCATATGTTTTGTCTACAGACAGACTGAATCTGATTTGGATACTGCTAGAAACTACTCTAGTAAAGGTTTGTATGTTGGCTTGTGTAACTTACAAATGGGTCTGTCTTGACCAATAATCATGTTCAATGAAGTACATTCTAATTCATTTACATGGCACTTAATTATAAACTGGTTTATCATTCTTTATGAGCTAACTATCTGAGCTGAGCCACAACAATTCCGTTTCCAAATGAAGAAATGGCACCGGGAGATCTAAAATTGCCGGGGAGGGGGGGTGTCCCACAAGCTAAGATTTGAATCCAAGTCAAATATGCCAATATCTTTCTCTTACTCAAATATCCTAAAAGGTGTCAAGATGGTGAAAAGCCAAACTACTTCATAATTACAAAAGGAACTGAAAATAATGCAGCAGGTCTTAGGGTGTTGTTATATAAACCTTTTGGTGCGTACACATTTAGTGTAGTCAACATTATGTGTGTGGAAATCTGTTTGCACATGAGGGTTTTCCTGACCCTTCCTCCCTGTAGCCCCCTGTATCCTTCAGGGAAGAAAACATGGTATGTGGTGCATGGGCTTCAACAACATGCAGAATCATTAAAAGTTAGTGTGAGGCAGTTTGCATAAACAAGCTGCTTCCATCTGACTGTCAGCATTTCTGTCTCCAGCTGCAGCTTCTGAACCATCTCCCACGCCTTTCCTAAGGATTGCCTGATCCACAGGCGAAACTTATCATGGGCCCATGAGACTGCAATGGAGTGGGAGGGGGAATTGGGAAAGCCCATTACACACAGATAAGTCTGCCCATATAACATTGGCGACTGTATACAGTTTTGGTTGCACTGTCGTTAAAAGGACAAGTTGAAGAAAATTAATGCAGCTTTTTGGACTACTGTTTTAAGACCTTTCTGTAAGCAAAGACTGAAGAGCCTAGAACTTATTGCGGGGGGCGGGGAGAGGCATACTAAGATTGGAGGATGGTATGAGAGAGATTTGCAAAACTGAACAACTGGGCATAGCATTAAAAAAAACAAACCCAAAGCATTGCTTCAATACTAGGCTATAATTTGTAATGGTTCACACAGTTCATAATTAATGCATGGGATTCACTATCACAAGATGTGGTTGTAATCACTGGTTTTGAAGAGTCTCTCACACACACACATACACACACGTTAATGGAGAATAGTTCTATCCAGGACTGTTAGCTACAATACCTAAAATCACAGCAGTATGCCTGTTCTGAGCCCCAGATAATAGAACTAAGAACCAGGGGGGGCGGGGGGCGTCGTTCAGTTTGACTTTCCAAAAACATCACATTGGACCAACATCCATCTAATGTACAGAGTGGCCAATCTAAAAAGGCCATTCTTACGTTTTTGATCACAAGTGGGAAATCTGTGGCCCTCCAGATATTGTTGGACTACAAGTCCTATCATCCCGGATCATTGGTCATGTTGGCTGGGGCTGATGGCAGTTGGCAGTCCAACAACATCTGAGAAGTCACAGGTTCCCTATTTTATCTGGATTATGATAAAAGGGAGACTCTGGTGCCTGGGTACTGTGTAACAAACAAAAAAATTCAGTACAGAAATTGACCTGCGTAGGTGTCAGCATTCCATTTAATGAATACGAACAAACATGTGTGTCACATTCCCGCCATTATCATGTAGATAATATATATAACTGTATGTAAATAAGTGATCCTATATATTGCAAAACAGGAAAATAGCTAAATGCATGTTCAAGTGTGTGGATCCATTGGCTTACTGATTTGGACCATTAACATGGTTTCAATTAAATTATTATTATTATTATTATTATTATTATTATTATTATTTGCCTGCCCTTAACCATAAGGTCCTAGGATGGTTGCAACAATTTAAAATACAACATTGCCTTAAAAAAAAGTACAAAATATGTTGCATTTCACTTTGAAGTAAGATTTACAGAAACCTTAATTATGCGCACTGAGAGAAATATCTTACTAAAGAAAACAACTATTAAATCTATACTAATTTGATTTTAGCCCTAGTAGTCAAAAGGAGAACCTGTAATTGCAAGATTGCAATTTTATTTATTTTATATATTGGGTTAAAAATTCAAACTGAGTGGCTCTCTTTGAATAAGAAATCTCTTCAGTGCTGAACAAGTGTAAAAGTAAGCAGCATTGGGAAATGGTATGTTAAATGTTGAGCTAGACATGTGCTAAAGCATAGGAATGTGGCAATTTTTTTGGTACACATTTTTAAGTATCTGTAAGCAAACAAAAATCTAGCTGAACACAATCACACTAGAGGTAATTATTTGAGCCCTGAATTGTTTCACAGTACCCTGTAACCTACCATCTCTTGGATTTAGCTACTCATAACCTGATCCTAAGCACATATATGGAGCTAAGTCTTACTAGCGTGAATGAAATTTTCTTGTAAGAGTGCTCAGTATCACAACCTTGACTCCATTGATTGCAATGGGACAAAACTGATTTAAAAATCAAAGTGTTGTTGCCTTGCCTATTGGGTTAACTGCAGACTGGGATGTCTTTGATATAGGTAAGAATATATATAAATGTCATCAATCATGGAAACTCCTGATCAAAGTTACAAATATATTTACGTATGAAATTAAGCAGACCAGTAAGATAGTATGTGTACTGCTGCTTGATATGCATAGGGAAAGTTCTGCTGTTAAGTCGGGTACTATTGTTACAACTTGATACAAGATTCATAGGTTGAGTAATTCAAAGAAAAAATATCGTTTAAAATGCCTCTCTCTTACTGAAGCCATTACAAATCAATTTCTCTCCAGTGCGGAAAGCATATTTATGTCACTCTAAATGTTTTAAGATCCAATTAGAACGGTTCTTACTTTGAACTTAACATAGTCATGGTAGCTTTATCAATCAGTTTCAAAATCCAGTAGTAAATCTGATTTTTTAAAAACTCCAACAAATTCATCACTTTAAAAATCTAGGTATCCCAAAGGTTTAAGCAAGCCATTCCCAGATAAAGGCCTACTGCTAGCACAGATTTTTCTGCCTCGCTAACCTTCAGCTTAAAAGATTACCAAAATGGTTTCTAGGAGGCTGTTAAAAGTTTTAAATTGCAAGTTGAAATAAAAATATTATGGCCAGAAGAAGCAATGCTCAAAAAGCACAACTAAGGAAAACACTTTAACGTTTCCGCTGGGATGTTTTTAATGGCCTTTCAGCCCCCTCCCAGTCAATCCACTGAAGTCTCTCTATATTTTTACAAAAATATGAATGTTCTGCTTGTGTTAATGTGAGAGTCTTTAAAACTGTATTTCAGATACCTTTCCAAAATTGCTTTTAAGTTTTAAAGAGCATCATAATGGTGTTAAATTTCTCTCTAGCAGGATTTCCAGGTAGTATTAGGATTAAGAGGAAATGTTTGCTCTGTGTTGTGCATTCAAATGTTTACGTGTTGAACTTGGGGGTATATATTTTTATTGCATACTTTCAGAGAGCAGAGACAGATCTTTTCCCACCACCACTGTTCAATTCTTTACAACTTCACAGATCATTTAGAAGATTAGTGCTTTTATTTACAGGATTTCTACCTGGAGTAGGAATGTACTGAACTGACAATTCTCACCCATTCATTTTCACAGGTTTTAAAGAGGAAACAAATTACAAAACGCTGGTCACCAATAATGGTTATTGTGGCACTTGTTTCATTTACCACAAAAATGGCCCAATTTACTAAACAACCATTGGTTTGTTGCTGTTGTTATTTTTAGGATTAACAAACCAAATATATTGTAATTATATATTTATGTCTTCCATTATCAGATAGGTCCCAGTGTTATTGACATGGGTACTGAAGCATTCCTAGTTCAACAGGCATAACTTGGTGATCTCCTTAGCAAATATATTCTACTCCTCCCAAGATGGATGATAATCTTCAATGTCAGTGATGCACAATATTCTCTGCATCTTCTATCGTCTTGCTTTTGTATGTCCCAATTTCACCCCTCTAGAGATTTCAAAGCCAGATATGATTTCAGGAAGGGTTAGAATCAGTGGTTTTACATGGGCTTTCCCATAGATGCCAAAGACCTTTTTCCCCCTAGGTACAATTGTAAATCCAAACCTGTTTGATAGCAACCAGCATGGATCACGTGATCTATGCTGCTTTAAAAATATATAACCCTTCCATGTTGCATGGTTTGGTACACAGAAGAACAATTTATGTCATCAACATTTTCAGCCAACAGACTGTCAGCTACTTTTGCAAAGCATGCCCTTTTGTGTGAAATTCTACATGGGAAATAAATGATCTAGGACCCTTATTCCCAAGACCAAAGCAGAGCCTCCTAACCTTCAGCCCATCTTAGGCAATTCCATTATATTTAATGGCCGAAAGCTCAGTTCACCACATCCGCTCTCCCTAAAGATCAACCACTGGGTATGTGACTTGCTAGAGTAAATAACGGCAGCTACTAATTCAATACATTTCCCTCCAACTGATGGGAAAAGGCCCGTGTAATTAACTGTAATGAGATTAAATGAACTTGTTATTAATTCCAGAGTATTCTAAAGAGGTCTGAGGCTTCAAGTGTTGTTTTATTGTACTTTTGATAACTTATTTTAAGTAAGCTTCAGCATTTACAATGTAAAGTGGAAGGATGAACCCTGTGACATACAGCAGAATAAATGAATGGCACGGTTAATGATTCAAATCAAAATAAAGGTGTTATAAACATGCATTTGAATTACCTATGGAGTTGAGTTAGACAGGAAATAAAATGAAAAGGGAAGAGACTTAATGAGAAAGAACTGATATAGTTTACCCTACCTGTACTTTGTTCCATGACTTCCTTTTGACACATATCTTGGACATTCACAGTGCAATTCACTATGAACTCTGGGGACGAGCAATCATTATTTAGCTGAAATTCCTCACACTGATAGCACTGTATTTGCAAAGCAAATCCTAGAATAGAAAGAAACATTATTTAGCATGTGCTAAGAATAATTTTTAATGCAGAAATTCTGTGTTTATTTCTATAGGAATAAGCCCCATTGAACTTAATAGGACTTATTTTATAAGCATAAAGACTTGCAGTAAGCAAGCAAGTCCCATTGATTCAGTAGCACTTACTTTTGAGCAGTCATGCTTAGGATTGTGCTGTATATTAAGTTTCCTTTTATTTAATTTCTCACATATACGCACACACATACACACTCATTCATTCTCTATTTGGCTGTAACCGTTGTCCTTTTAGCTAACACCATGGTTTAAGTATATAGTATCCTTTAATAATTTGCCAACTTTAATCCACATCAGACCTTTAAACATGGGCAAAACTCATTATCACTTATGTTTGCTTCCAAGTTTTCAAACCCTTCTGGCTTCATCAACCTAAACTGTATCCAGCAGGGGGCAGAATGAACAATAATGAGCAGTAGCAAAATTGATCTGTTTTGCTCACCATCTTTTCCTCTCTGCTTTTCCTTCTTAAAAGGTTTGGTGTAGGGTTGTGGTTTTTTTTAAGCACTAGGCTTTTAAAAAGCAAGCAAATGACCGAAAAAGTAAACCACCTAATAGATGTGCTCCAGAGCTTTTCTGTGCCAAAGGGTTTACTTAACTACTAATTAATTGCAATGATTTAATTACTATTTTGCCATGCACAATTACAGCTGCAAAGCATCCTTAGCTTCCCTCTTTTATCATGCAAACGAGGGTCCTTCTGGAAGTTTAAGGCGAGGGCCGGGGGAGTTTCTCCATATTTACTGTCTGCTGGAGCTGCGCCTGAGCAAGGGCATCCATCCTAGATCTCCCAGCGCTCCTGGAGGATTTGGGTGCTACGGAAAGAGCCGGACGGGATAGCCAACGCCGCCCCACACCTATTGACAGTCGAGGGCACTTGGGAGGGAAGCTGTGCTTTTACCAATGTCTCCTTAAAATGAAGTGCGATCATTGGAAGGAGCGGTTTGATCGGGCTAGCACGCAGGGAACTGGCTTCAGCGCGGTCACAGCGGAGAATGAAGCTCAGCTAGTCATTTAGCTGCCCAAGGATGCCTGAATAGTTGCCATTACTCAGCCGAGTTTCCGCCCCATTCAACGTGGGGCCAGGCAGTAGGTATCTGGGCTGTTTTACTTAAACAGGTGCCTGCTGGCTCCTGGCAGGCAGCCCTAGCGTTGTTGCTCCTTAAGGTAGTTTGCAGGAGAACTACTAACACTCCCCACCAAAGGGCTCTGCAAGGAACACGGGGGTTGGGAGGGTAACCGTGACGCACAGACCGAGAAGAATCCTCTGTTCCGAGGGTTGCTAGTTGGCTACTAAGCGGAGGGCTTCCCGGGCAACCGCTTGCCAGTGTGAATCGTCACCCCTCCCCGGGAAATAAATAGGGGGAAGGAGATTCGCGGGAGCGATGGGGCGGGGGCTGCTGCTCTACGGCTTGCTGCGATCTGCCCGCGGAAGTTCCCAGGGCTTGTCTGGGAAGCTCGCCTCGGCAGCGTCCCTTAGGCAGCGCAAGTGGACAGCTTCCAGACAGATCCCAAGCGAGTTCTCCTTGGAAAGCCGAGTTTCTCTTCCAGAAACAAGCGCAGCAGGGATGGGCAAGCAAGCTTTCCTTGCTGCTGTGAGCGAGACCTCGGGAAGCGGACGGGTTCCAGAGGCGGCGATGACCACGGGTGGGCTGCGTGACCCCGCGCATTTCTCGGGAGAGGCACACAGAGGAGCCAGGGTCCGGCGGTGGCTCAAGCTGGCAGGGCAGAGCTGCCGGCGAGGCGGTAGCAAAAGGAGCAGCCGCCGCCGCCGCCTTCTTGGCTGGCTGGGGCGGGAGCTGCAGAGTTGGTGCCAGCAGCAGCAGCAGCTGTTGAATGGCAGGCGCGAACTTTGCAGAGTGTCGGCGAGGAGTCCTTGGCACCGGGCAGGCACCGATTCGAGTCGGCGGGGCGGGGGTTGGGGGTCGGCTACGGCGGGCGTCCCCTCTTACCTGGCGCCAGCAACAATCCCCAGAAAGTTGTCGCCACGGCGAGGAGCCACATCCTCTTGGAGCCGTCGGAGGGGCTGGCGGTGGCGGTAGGAGACGCTGGCCAAGGCACGGCAGCTCTCAGCAGAAGCAGCAGCCGGGCGACGCCGGGAGAGCCGCGCACCTCTGCCTCGTCGGACTGGTGCGAGTGCTGCAGCCGCTGCGGAGAGGAGCTCCGGGGGCAGCAGGCGACGCCTCAGCCCGCATCGCCCGCCCGAGCCCCGGCTCCCTCTAGTCCTCCCTGTGAGAGCTCCCTCCAGCCTCGCCGGAGTTGAGAGACTGAAACTACAGCGGAAGACGCCTAGCCAAGAAGAGGCGACGGAGAGGAGGGCGGGGAGAGAGAGAGAGAGACCCACCGAATAACCCCCACCCGCCTTCCCGGGGTCACGTGGTGCCCCCTCCCCCCTTTCCTGCAGGGGAGAAGGAGGGAGAAAGTTTATGGAGACAGGCAGAATCCTTCAGCTTGGAGAGGCGAAGGGGGAGAAGCCCCTCCCACTCTCCAAACACCTGCACGCGCCGCAGCTGCGATGGGGGAGGAGGCCGGCGGTCAGCCACTCAGTTCCCACCTGCGGGGCTAACGCGGAAGCTCCTCCGACGCAGCCGCGTCCCCAGTTGGATTGGTACGGAAAGATCGGCACTCATCTAACACCCAGCTGTACAATAGCCCCTTCGTGGGCCAACTTTAAACAGCTGCTTACTCTTTTGCTCAGGTTTCTCTCTCTGCCCACCAGGGTCTTCTCTCCCTCTGTCACTCACGCTCACTTTCACGCTGTCTCCCCCTTTCATACCCTCGCCAGATTCCTCCGCCGCCTTAGGACGGTGTGTGGTTGTGAGACTCCCTCTCCCCCACTTGAAACAATGATCAGTTTTCCTAAGCAGCCTTTAAAACGAATGAATGAATAAATAAATAAAACCACACAAACGCTGTGGAGATGCAATAGTCAAAATGACTCATCGAGAGTGGATTAGTTGGCTGCTACAATCAATCAACCACTTTCAAGTAATTTTGCAATTAGTGGCTAATAGGTGGGTTTCCTCCGCTCTGATTGCCACCACCTCCCCGCCCCTCCGCGCTTTTATGGGCGCGATTGTGGTTGTGCGAGCACATTAATTGGCCGTAGACGACGTGAACTGGAACCAAGGCCATGGGGGGGGGGGTCGCGCTCTGAGAGCCAACGAGGCAGAGGAGCCATTCACTTACCCGCCCGCTGTAGGAGGGCCGCGGCCTGTCCCATGCCGATAGCGCCTTCCACCGGTGTGGTGTCTGTATTGGCGCGTCCCGTCTCCAGTGCGCCCAGGGTGGGCGACGTTTCTCTCATCCTAGATTATATAAGTTGCGCTTTTGCCGCCTGTTGTAACTGCCTGAGGCACTTGGAAAAGAGAGGAAGCCTCTCTCGGGCGCGGGAAAAAAGGCCGCCCTTTCCACACAGAGACAGCCGCGAGGGACAACAAACGGAGCCGTGCAAAGAAAGGAGCTCGTTTTGGTCTGGGCTTTCCCCAGGGCGATGCCTTCTGCTCCTAAATACTGTAATCGGCACATATCAAGCAGTGGCGGCTTCAGTGCCGTGTCCCCAATAGTTTCAACCTGGTGCAGGGACCGCAGGGCCGGCTCATGTTGTGGAGCAGGTGAAGAACAGCTTGAGGTTGCTGCGGATGGGTTGGGGGGGTGTCTAAGGGTAGTAGGCTAATACCTCAGATGTCATGATCGCACAGGTCACAGTATAGGCGTGCACACCGGCACACATTCATCTCCTCCATTGGAGAGGGGTGTGCTTGGTGTTTATGTTTCTCCTGTCTTTCATGTGGCGCTTTGGCAGCATTTGAGGCGGCAGCTTGCTGAACTGACTGCAGAGAAGGTGAAGGGTGCTCTCCTGGGAGGCCGAGCGGATGCGCCAAGTCGTCTCCCGGCCAAAATTATTTCTGTACTTTCGAGAGAGAACATACCCGACACCCTTGAGGACTAGAAACGGACTTTTAAGAAAACGAAAGAGGGATGAGTTGTAAAATGCCCCCATTCGGTGCCAGATTGCTAAATTTGCGCAAGCATCCTGATGGTGTGGATGCGCGAAATGCTCACCTAAGGTGCTCCCCCCGCACAAAGAGGGTAGCCTGAGCAGTTGCTGAAGGCTACGTTATGGGTTTACTTGCATAGAGGCTGTCAAGTTTTGAACCAGGAAGTCAGTGTTCAAATCTTCTCTGCTCTGAATTTATGCTAACTTTAACCTAAGCAGTTTCCCCTCATGCAACACGGGGGAAAATAATTCTTACTTGTAAGGGTCGCAAAGCGTGAAGCGCTTTGAATGCTTGAGAGCGATATGCAAACATTTAATACAATTAGTTTGCACAAGTCAGAGAAAAGCATCTGTTGCAGCTTTTTATTCCCTGGATACGTGTTCCTGAAGCAGAGATGGGGAACCTCTGGTCCTCCAGATACGGGTGAAGCACAACTGCCACCATTCCTGGCCACTGATAATGCGGACTGGGGCTCATGGGACTAGGAGTCCAAACAGATCGGGTTCGCTATCCCTGTTCTGAACTCTGTCTAGTAACACTGGGCGAATCAACAGGGCGCGTGGGTTAACGTTTTGCGCGCCTCCCGCGTGCATTCAGAGAGGCATGCGTGGGCAGCCTCTTTTCTCAGGCTCTTAAAAAAAAAAGTGCGGCGACTGTACACTGACAGCGTCCACCAAACAACTCACACGCTACTCCGAGGCAGCGGGGAGGAAGTGACGCTGTGCCGTAGTGATGAGGCGCCAATGCGCTCTAACCAAACAACCAAATAGGCGAGCTTAAACGAGTGAAGGCTTTGCGCAAGCGTGTGTGCGTGTAGGATTAGGTGGTCAAAAGGGCGCGCGCTCAGGCATGCACCACCGCGCTCGAGCCGCCGCCCCCCTCGCTCGCTCATCTTTTTGGCGGGAAAAACGAAGGACGAGGCGCGAGGACAGCACTGCCTCCCGCGCGAAGAGGGGCTTACGGAACGGAGAACGCACGCTCTTCAGCGTTTTCAGCCAAGTGTTGCTGAGCACCGGGAAAGCGCTTCGTTCTGTGGGAAAACAACGCGCCAAGCGGCCCTTCGGAGCGCTCCGCCTACTACCTGCCTGCCGCTCTCGCGCGCTGCTGTGCTCCAAAGGCGCGAAACCTCACCCCGCTCCCATCAGCACGGCCCGGAGCGTGTGTGTGTGTGTGCGCGCGCGCGCGCTTGACTCGCTGAAAAGCGCCTTCTGCAGCCCGCGCAGCCTCTTCCAACCTGAGAAAAATGAGCCAAACAGGCAGCAAATGGGAAAGGGGGACCGGCAGGCAGCCTATCCTTCACATAAGTTTAAGCTTGATAACATTATGGCAATACAACTGGAGGGGGCGCCAGGTTGGCGAAATAAGAGTTAAAGCATCTCTCATGCCTTACCTTAGTGCTGCAGAGGGGGCGGCAGTCGGGGATCGCTTCTCGCCTTCTAGGATTTACCAAAAAATTAAAAAAATTGAAGTGAGGGCCTGGGCGTCGTTTCTTGGCAATTGGGGACTATTCAGGGCAATCCTATACACGTCCAAGAAGCGAGCTTGAGGGAGCTCAGTGGGACTCACTCTCTGACTGGTAATGGAAGCTTAGGCTTCACCATGTTTCATGCCAGTGACACAAAGGACGTAAGAAAATAAAATAAATATAACGCACGCGCCTTATAAACGGGCAGCCTTTTTATCAGGGCTCAGACCCCTGTCCCATTTATCTCCATGCCTGCAGTTCTGTGGCGGCTTCACTTTGTTGCTGGAGCACTTTATCTCCCATAAGATTATGTGTCTAAAGCTGTTCCATTACCACTTGCACCCGTCTCTGATGGCTTTTTCCAGCCTCATCTCTCCAAGACCTTTCTTCGCTTTTCATCATTCACCCAATCTTTTCTCAGAGAGAGAGAGAATGAGAGCTAGAGAGAAATCGCTAGAGAGGTTTGAATTAAGCTTAAATTACTTCTTAGTTGCCATGTAGAAAATTCATTTGACTGATTTTGCATCCTATCTGCACATACATTAGCAGCGAAGCATACCAGGCAAGCTTGGTTTGAGAAGGGAAATGGCTGGAGAATCATTAGTATACAGCTGTGTATTTTGTTGCAGTTGGTCCTCCTGTCTATAAATATTGCTTCTTTATATTTACATATAAAGGTAGATTTAACTATCAATTTCCAGGTAGATTTTAAATGCCTGCTTCAAATCAACCCTTACCACTGTTAGAACATCTGTTGATGTGTATGTAATATCATTGTTTGGATAACCATATATGATATGACTTTTATTCAGAAATAAACTTCAAAGGAAATTTCATAAAAATCAGAAACAACCAAACTCTACCCCAACATTATTTAAAACAACATGAAATGTAACATTGCACGAAAGTATTAACCAAGTAACACTGATAGTACAACATAGTGGGTGGAAATCAACAGGCTTATGCTACAAACATAGTAAACGGGTTAGGAAGTATTGTAAATATAGCTAGCTTACAGGCTGCTGTACAAAAGTTGTTATAAATATTCCACATCTAAAAAAAATACGCTCCACCATTGAAATAGACTTCTCCCTTACATATAAAGAGTCTTTGTAGGAAACCCCCACCCCCCATAATTTGTTTGCTGGCACCAATCTTTTTCTTGATTAAAAAAAATTAAATTGTTGAATACAAATCTAAATCAATTGCATTATAGTCCATGATTCCCGAATTAACAGAATTAATATGAAATCATATCAAAGTTAAATCAACACAACATGTATTCATGGTATAAGGCTACAGATTACAGGGAAGGAGGGTATCTCTTGGATGATTTCACCAAATGGCATTAAGAGAAATATGCAAGTTCATAGAGAATCTTTTCAAAATTGCACAAATATATGCATTTTAAAAAACGTATGTTGTACAATGTGGTTCAAGGTGATTCATTATAGACCATTTGGCAAGTTCAATTTTGCGATAAAGCAGTGTTTCTACATACAGTTTTAAGACTAGAACGTTCATAAATCTTTATTTTACAAAAAAATTACTAACTTTGTTAATATTAACATCAGTGTTTAAAGTTAGTAGCCTGCTATTTCAGGAGCATGGCACCAATTAGTATTTATTGCTGTCATGTTTTTCTACAAATATAATTTTATTTCTCTTCCCCAGAACATTTTTTACAACTTCTGTACAATAATTCATAAAAGTGCAAAATTAAGACTATTTCTTTTTAGTAACAACTGTGTTGTACTGTCAACCTTTCAGTCTTTTTGTTATAATGCAGATTTTTCTTCGTTATTGCTCTATATGAATATATCTGGATATATCCTATCATGAGTCTTAGCAACTTACTTTGAATATTTTCAACAGCTCTTATTTATTTAGTTCTTCTGTTCATTAAGTGCTCCACTCAGTGGCCACCCATGTCGAGTGTCCTCTTTATACATCATTTGAGCCTTGGCTTGCACAGGATGAGAAGCTATCATATAAAGAATCACTCAAGGACTCCAAGTGGTCTATATCATGCCTATCAGAACTATTTAGAGAAACTTCTTCATTCTTCCCATTTTCTTCTTCTTGCCCTTCAACCTTGCTCTCCTTTTCCAATAAAATGCTTCTGCTGCTGTTAAATTTATTGAGAGACTCCAGGGAAATTTTAGATAACCCCTTTTCAGAATCTTCCTTTGCTTCTTCAGGTTGCTTCAATTTCTGTAACGATTTAAGAGGAGAGGAAGTCAGAATTAGAAACATACTCTTCTCCAAAAACAAAAATAGTTATCAAAATTGTAAATAGTCAATTACTGCCTGTCCAAAGTTCACAGCAGAAAAGAAATAGATAGTTAAATGCTTTGGGGCTTAATCCTCCATAATAATTAAATCCAAGAATAAAGTTCATTTTGGGATAAATCATAGCTTTAATGATTCTGCTGAGACAAATAGGACTCAATTTGCAAAACAGTTAAGTGCCATTTACATTTTAAGCAGCTGATTTTGGAATTTGTATGTGTAAAATATCTCCAGCATCTCCAGAGTAATTTACATTTCCCATCCTTTTTCAGGAATCATTATTTAAGGACAACTGGCTATTCGTCAAAGTAGCTGGCACTATTATTTCATTTGGACTCCAGTGAGTGCACTCCTATTCTGAGACCCAGTAACAGTGCAAATATTAGGTGAAAGCAGAAGACAAGACAGGCATGGTTAAGTTCTATTAAAATCAGTGGAACTTTTGCATACAGACAAATGTTCATGTCTTACTTATTTCAATAAATCCAAAGTGCACTTAACTTGTCAGGGTCACACCAGAAAGAATAGTGAAAGCAAAGGTCCCCCCCCACACACATATCATTTCCTAGGCCCTCCCTGCCACCTCCATCCAACACTTATCAGCTTCAAGGCAGGTGTAGTTGTCTCCTTGGCTTGGGGGCATGTTGGTGAACTTCAAAAGCCCCTATACTGCCCCAGGTATACCCACTTTCTGTCTCTATCAGACATCAGTGAGGCAAGAACCAGGAACATTTCTGTAGCAGCAGGAGGGGGCCCTACAACACTGGGTCTCCCTCTCCATCCTTGGAGGATACTGTCCAAAACACCCAATGGCCACTGGAGTGCCTTCCCAGGGACTACAAGACTGCAGGTAATGTCTGCAGTGTTATATATACATGTACCTGATCTCACTGGAACATGTTTTTGTTGTCAGATGTTGTCAGTAGTGTAAATCAGATATAAAAACTATGCATTACAGTGGTACCTCGGGTTAAGTACTTAATTCGTTCCGGAGGTCCGTTCTTAACCTGAAACTGTTCTTAACCTGAAGCACCACTTTAGCTAATGGGGCCTCCTGCTGCTGCCACGCCGCCGGAGCACGATTTCTGTTCTCATCCTGAAGCAAAGTTCTTAACCCAAGGTACTATTTCTGGGTTAGCGGAGTCTGTAACCTGAAGCGTATGTAACCGGAAGTACTACTGTACTTTGAGAGAGAAATGCTGGAGTACAAAATATCTAAACGTGTATGGAATGGTGTGGCCTATACCTAACCAGTATCAGATGAAAAGAAGCAACTTCTGCTATCCAACTAATCTATAGATTAATATACCACCTGTTTTAACAGGCTGAGTATTTGGAACTTTAGTAAGGAACCTGGAATCTGAGGAAAAGTATCCCAATGTGTATTGGATATATATTTACTAAAATAAATCTGTATAATGCAGACATTAATTAAATTTACTAGGAAAGAACTTCACATTTTGCATGTGTATTGATTTTCATGAACTAAAAAACCTTTCCAACAGAAATGAAAGCAACAGGAGAGGAAATTACACTGAGCTGGTCCAATCCCCTCAGGCCAGAATCAATCAGATATTGGCTATGTCTATTTGGAGAAGTGTTGTAATCTGACAAAACTACATAAAATGAAGCACTGGACAATGTATCAGCATATCATTATTATTTTTAAAAAACCCACACAACTGGATTTTATCTCTGCTTGAAGAACACTTTCAATCAGCTGTTTTAGGGAGAGGTTCAATATAAAAATGACCTGGTTTTCACACACAGCTGGTGTTTTTTAAAAAACCATCTCTTCTCAATAATATCATTAAAGAAATACATGAAAATACTGAATGCATTAGGGGCTTTACCAATATCTAAGGTTTTTGCAGTATCCATTGTTAAATGAGGTGTGCTAAAGTCACAATCATTCTTCATTTTCAGTCTTAGTTCCAAGCAGAAATAAATGGATCAATAAACTATTGGCAGTCCAAGAACAAACATTTTTACTTTATGTCTAGTTGGCAAGTGAAGTGGCTGATTTAGTGGTCATTCAGAAATATCAAGAATACAATACAGACTACCAAAGGAAAAAAAGATATTGCAATGTAAGAGCAACATAAGATGAGGATGTTTGACTCTGAAGAACTTAGGGTTCTGTTTAGGTCCACGTTATATGTGCCCATTTTTGCAAAAAAAAAATTAAGCCACAATGCTAATTTTTACAGTTGAAGCCCAACCCATAACCAGCTAGGCCTGGTTAATTTGATTTTTAAAAAATGCTTTAAGCCCAAGTACAAATTGTGCAAGTTATTTTCAAAAAGCATAAGTAGCCAGGGTGATGGGTCTGTGTTCACTGCTACTGAATTACACTACCATTTCCACAATCAGACTATAACATCTGCACTATCTTATTCCATTACAAGAGTGAGATAAGCCAGCTGAAACGTAAGCCTTACATTTATTGATTCAAACCACCCAGTAATTCATGGAAAAAACCACTAAAGTCACTGTGTCTCCAACTGGCAGCCATGCCCCAGCAAAGACATATGCTCATGCATGAGCTGTGTGTAAGGGAGTATGCTCATGTATTCATGAGGACCATGTATTTTTGTGGAAGAAAATGGAGCACTTCTGCATATGTAATGCTTTGGATCATGTCCAATGTAGGATTAGGTATTCTAGTTCTGTTAGTATTCTATTGGTCTGAATCCTAAGGGCCCCATGCATGTGTTGAAAGCAGTTCTGCACACTTGCAGGGTATGGGGCTGCCCATTTCCCCTCTGACTGCATCCCTCCTCCCCATGCCATATGAAGCCAGCTACAGACATGGCCTGTCAGGCATGCTAATTTTAGGGTTGGTCAGTGCAGGGATGTAGCTGGAGAGCTGGAAAATACACAGCCCTTTGGAGCGAGAGAGAGAGAGAGAGAGAGAGAGAGAGAGAGAGAGAGAGAGAGACTAGTTTGATTTTTGCATCTCAGTCATATAGGCCACTGGGTTATTGTCAGCTTGATCCTACAAAACCACTTTCACTGTCAAACACGAAACACCAAAATTCAGTAGCCCAAAAATGGCCTGCAAAGCAGACAAACTACCCGTGGCCCTATTGTGTCCTGCCTTCCACACCTTGTTAGCATGGACAATATACTAACAGGGTATTGGCAATTTTGTGTTGTGGAACCACTAGAGCTGCTCCAAAATCCTTTTTTCTGAAATGTTTCTGAAGTGTTCTTGGCACTGCTACAAGAGCCTTTGTTGTACAACTAAGTTTGTGTTTTGGAACTTAAGCATTATCATATGGTCTTGGTTGCAAAATGCTAAACCACGGTGTGGGGGAGACATTCCATAATTTGTCATTCATTTTCAGCTACACAGCTCTGTTTTGAATATATTTAACACAGCCAAGAAAATCTTAAGAAAAATATTATAGTTATTAATAATTCATATAAGGCTGTTTAGTGGTACAGAAATCTGTGGTGCAGTCCTTTTTCTCATGAAGATCCTTGTGAGGTATGTCACTATGAGTCCCATGCTGCAGGATATGGGGAAAAGGTTTCTCAAGGCCACCTAATTACACCACTGCTGAGTTTTGAATGGAATCCAGGCTTCCCAAATTAGCATGTAACACTTCAGTTACATGGTATCCTTCTGTACCATCTGGCTGGATTAGGGCTTGGAGGCAAGGTATTATAGTGGCTGCAGTCCTTTCTGAAGTGACACATCCAAAAGGTGGTGCTGAGGGGCTCATGAGCCATACTGCAGCCATCGATCTCTGGATTCCCTAAACTGTTTGACACCTGCAAACATCTCAGGTGTCACCACTATGTGGGTGTTAATACAACACCATTCTTTTCTATCTCTTCATCCTAGAGAAACTGTTGAAACCCTGAATGGGTATCTGGAGGGAAGTTTTGGGATGGATGTCCTCAAGCAAGCTGGAACTAAATTCAGATAAAATGAATTATCTGTGTGAGAAAATATGTAGATCTGGATGGAGGTATCCTGCTGGTTCTGGTTGCCTTCTCCCAAAAGACAAAATTCTCATTTTTGGAGGTTCTGCTGGACTTGGCACTGTCAAATGATGTCCAGGTGGCTTCAATGGCTAGAAATGCTTTTTAGCAGTTTAGACTGATTTGCCAACTGCAATCCTATCTAGAGAAAGCAGACCTTGTCACAGTCGTGCAAGCCTTCAGAACATACTATTGTAATGCACTCTATATGACACGAACGGCTGAATTGTTTGTGTGGGCCTCATGATCAGAGCAATTGATATATTTTATATCAGGTGCACCAGTTACCAGTTTGATTCAGGACAAAATTTAAAGTGCCACTGGCTACTTTTAGAGCCTTAGATGGGTTGGGATCAAATTATCTGAAGGACTGCCTGCACTTGTACAAACCAGGCCCTAAGATCGGTTTCTGATGTTCTTCTCATAGGCCCACCCCCAAGAAATATTAGGTTAGTGGGAACTAAAGACTGTGTTTTCGGCGGAGACCCCATATTTATGATCCTCCTACCCATATGTACATGGTTCTTACAGTTTTAAACCAGCCCTGAAAACTTTTGACAGTGAAAAACATCTTCTGTGTTTAAGATGCAATATAAGTACTTTGTTGTATATGCCCAACCCCACAGAAGCAGGGGTCTTCATCTCAAAGAACTTGCCACAAGGCAGTGATATATTTAATACTTTACATATATAGAGATACATGGAAGATTTCCCAAAACAGTAGGAACTGCTTGAGTGGGATGCCAGATTCCTTCTATCAAAATTTAAGGAGATAGCTGTAAAAGGAGCTAAGGGTTTCACCTCTAACCTTGTGGGTAGAACTGATAGACTGATCTAGACAAAGATAAACTTATGCTGATCGGACAAAAGAAATTGCAGCTTCCTTCTATTTATCACTTTCAGTGGTAGTATTACAGTTTAGTTAGTAATTTAATATGATGACATCAATTAATAAAATATACTGGATTAAGGTGGGGGAAAACATTAAGGTCAAATTCTATGATGTTAAATCAAGGAGCCAAATTAAACCAAAATGTTGAGCAATAAACAGTATTCAGCAGTGAAACTAGGCAAGGGATTTAAAATTTAATCCAAAGTCTACCAAAGTCAACAGGCGTCTTCCTGCTAACTGTAATGCGTTTTGGATTAGGTCATATTGTCATCAAAACTGGGTCTAGCTTTTAAAGGTAATAGCTGTCTGGCTGTTATCATAAACACTGGAGGACAGCTTTGGTGGTGAAATGAGTTCTTTTTGTACTTGTACTTGACAATACAATAAATAAATTTAATTCCTGTGCTTTAGCACCAAGATTAGTGATCTGAGGGGCACTTGACATACTGCATTGATAGTTGTACACCTAAAGGCTTTTAAGTGTGAAGAGGATAAACATGTGTATCATTAAGGTACAATAGTCAAAGAACTGTGGTTGCAGTTTGAATAAAAATGTGGTGGCAAACTCAGGCTGCATTCACACGTGGGGTTTGTTGCATTAGCCACCACATGGAAACATCAGGAAAATGGAATAAACTGTCAGGTGAATGCTGTCCAAATTCCAACATGTGAATGTTTTATTGAAGCAGGTGTGGGAATAGGTTGGTCTTCCATATGTTGCTTGACTACAACTCCCATCATCCACTGCCCATGCTTGCTGGGGCTGATGGAAGTTTCAGAAACATCTGGAAGGTTAGAGGAAGAATTTCTGCTTGTGCAATGGAATCCTCCCAGGTGCCCTCTAAAACTGTTTATCCTCTGGAGCAGATTTGGGAAGGGCGCAGTGTATACACATGGAGTAGCAGAGAGGGGAAGTCTGTGTGCGTAAGCAAAAATCTATTCACTACCATGATCTCCAGATGTTGCTGGACTCCAGATGCCATCCGTTCCAGCGAGGATGATCAGTGGTCAGGAACAATGGAAGATACAGCCCAACAACACCTGGGAAGTTAGCCATCCATGGCACAATAACAGTAACAATTAATTATTTATAAACCACCCATCTGACTGGGTTGCCCCAGCCACTCTGGGCAGCTTCCAACAATGATGAAACCACCATGTGTGAAAGGTTCTTTAACTGATCATCAACGGTGGAAGAGAATCTGGTTTTTCTTTTGTTTAATTAACAGTATTTTATTATACTACAGTAAGGTAATGGCTGTGCTGGAATGGAAGATGTTTGGTAGTGTGCTATTGCTCTTTGAACAAATACTCATGTAAACTATTAAAAATAAGCCTTTTTTAATTTTTGGATTTTATTTATTTTTACTGAAGAGAAAAATTTCAATTACCATTTAAAGTCAGGCTATGAAAAAATGCTCACGATGAGTTTGGTAGACCAATGAATATGAAGACACTCACCTCTCCCCCCACCCTCAGCATGGCCCTTAGTTTAATCTTCAAAACTTTATTTGCAGAATAGATTAACACCTGCATCCTGCTGTCTCTGGGATAAGAAGTTATGTAATATAATACTTAATGCACATGGACAAATCATTACAAAAGTGTGTGCAATTAATTGTAAGCCTAAAAATAAACTCAATTATATCTTAGCTTCCTTCTGAAATAAATGTGTCTGAACAAAACTTATGAAAATGAACTGTTCTTCTCTCATGTTAATGGAATAAAGTAAGGATTGCCAAATGGATGGCAAGAAACCATCACATCTGCTCAATTTGGTCCTTATTTTGATTACTTTCTATTCCAACTTTTTATCAGGTTTGGTTTTTTTTTGTTATCAGTTAGCGAAATGACCAAGATGTAGTGTGGTTGATATAAATTTGGCTATTACTACCATGATTATTTTTTAAAACTATTATTATTATTATTATTATTATTATTATTATTATTACTGCTTATACTTTTGGAACATGTAAATCTTTCCACTAATACCAAAGTCATATACAGGTTTGGGACTGCCCTAAATAAAAAATGCAGAAATGCTTCCAAAGATTTTAAAAAACAGATTTGGCATAACATGTAAAATAAAGAAAACAAAGGAACTGACATTATAAGCATCCAGTTACACAATGGAGAGATAGATGGTGCAGATTTAGCCACCACTACAGTGCTTCTAAATCCACTACTGATTTCAGCCACTAGGAAGCTCAAAACCTCTGCTCATGTTTAAATCATTATTTTACTAATGCACTTTTAGTGTGAATCAGTACCTTTTCTTGCTGATAAGGGCCATTCTGCAGGATATCAGATATATATTGTATCCTGGGGAATTGGATGGCTCAGGGATTTGGTAATAGTATATGAAGCCTTTAACCTCCAGGTCACTGGTTCAGATAAAATCTGGCCTACACAAGTGACTGAAAATCATTGCTATCAGAAGCTTGCCTGATGAACCCTGACTAACTCCTCCAGATACTTAGTTTACCTGCCAAGTATTCACATCATCATCACAAAGGAAAGGGGAGAACAAGCAAAAAAACCACAAGAGAACAAAGTGCTACCACTACTTCTTAGCTGATTTTCAATGCGATTTCCTGATGATTCACAATTATGTTTGCACATATATACATGTCTGCACACACACACACACACACACACACACACACACACACACATGCTGCTTCATTAAAGATTTAATTAAAACATGCTGCATCATTAAAGATTTAATTAAAACTTAATCACCAAAGTAATGATTACATATTGTTTTGGGCATACTGGATTCCAGAAACAAACAAAAAGACTTAACATGCTACATGTTGTAAGTACAAATAAATAATAAAATGCAGCACATAGTGCCCTTTAACTGCCAATCCACTATGGCAATTCTTCTACTTCAATGAAGATGTATTTATGTTGACTTGTTATACACCCTCAATTGCTAGGAATTGGGTATATTATACGGTACTATTAAACAGACCCACAAATGGCAAAATCTGTTCCGGATACCTGAGTGAGCTCAGACTCAAGTTTATGGAGGTGACAGACATGGGTACACTGGAGAATGGGAGGTGAGCAGATCTCCCATCGTAAATCAGAGTTGTTTTGCTACAAGCCATGTCCATGTGCCTAAGAGCTATCTGGGTGGGGAAATGGGCAAAGCAGCCCGTGCAGACTGAAGGATCATGCTCCAAAAATATAAAGATGAAAATGTGAAGAACTACAACAGGTGTCACACCCAATCTAAAGCTTAGACTTGGCCACAAAGAGAAGGCAGCCAATATCTAAAAATCTTTAATGCAACTCAGGCTCAGGAACATTTAAATTTAAGGTTCTTCAATGCTTCCAATAACAACTCAGGTTCAGTTATGGGAGTTCATAACTGAGCCATCCAGCATAGATGTCCTTCTCCATATCCACTGCCATTTGATCCTGCTGTCAGGGTTTAATTTAGAAGCCATCTGTGATAAGTCTGAAAGATTGTGACAGGCGAGTGGAGAGAAAATTGTCTGCAAGGCATGCCCAGCAACTGAGTGGGAGCAGTAAAAAGGGTGCAGGGAAGGAAGATAGGTATGGTGTGTATTTTTGTGTTTTTATATTGTAAGCCGCCAAATTGCTATGAGAATTAAATATAGATCAACAAAATCAATACTTAATTGCATAACTCAAGGTCTTTCATTTCACACCTAATCCCTGATCAGAAGTAGCAAGTATGCTGATTAAAAAGTAAAATAAAAATGTCGCTATGAAGTGGAATAGTTTTCCAGCTTTTTGCATGTTTAAATCTGCAAGTTACTCTGCCTTTGCTTATCCAAGGTCATATTGATCCAATAATCTATACTATTTATCATGTTAAATTTCACATTTAATCAGAGCTAGATGTCTTAGAAATCACTGAAGGTACTTTATATTTATGATATAAAGTAACTAATGGGCCATTGAGTAAATTACATAAAAACATCATAGTGCACGCTATTAACATTCTGTGGCTCCCCCCTTTTTTTTAATTCAAATTTTCTATTGTTAACAAGTTCCTTGGAAACAGTGGAGCTGAATCATACAATAATACAAATCAGAGTTCTTACTCCACTAATGTAACTGGTGATAAATTAGTCAGTCCATTATGCATAAACTTGAAAGTTTGTGCGTGCCCAAGGAATTTGTTTTATAAAAAGGTTTATTTAGTTTTCAAGCTGGAATCAGCAGTTTTCTATCTGCTGAAAACCAAATATACATCCAAAGGAACAGTATTTTGTGTGTGCAATCTGCTGCCAAAATCACCTGAAAAGAATGAGATGCCCATACTGCTTCCTGTGATTGCCATCATTATAGCACATTCCTAGGTATGTCTATTCAGAAAGAAGCCTTATATGGTTAAACTGGGCTTATCCCAGATTAAGTGGGCACAGGGTTGCAGCCTGAGGCTGTGTACACACTCCTGTTTACTCTGCATCCTGTGTACTCTCACTGCTGGCGTACATATAACATTAGCCACAATGCATACCTAGCCTGTAATTTCTAATGAAATGCTGCATTTTGATGTGTTTTCCCCCTAACCAGCTACTATCCAAATTGAGAAAAAGTACAACCTTGCTGTATTTTAACCTGGTAACACAGCCTTAGCTGATCTTCAGTGCACTGCTTCCAGATTTTTATTTCTTCTTTCATATGAAAGCTATTACTTTACAAAGGAGGGGAAGAGAAACATTCCTACAAGTTATTTTTCCTGCATCTTATTATGCCCCCTCCTTTCCATTATCAGAGCCACTTTCTGCATTGCCACCACAAACCCTGTCAAAATAAGCATTTTGTTAATTTCACTGGATGGTTCCTTTTTGCCAGAGCTAAAATGGGTTCTTCTCAAGTCCAGAAGTCATAGGCTTTCCAAAAATTAGGAAAAATGGATATAGCTGGGCATGCAGTCAGTGACAGGGCTGTTGCAGGCCATACCCCAACATATGCATTCCCAACCTGTGCAAATTCATTTATAAGTTGGAACAGAGCTTACATAAAACTGGAAATGTCTCTCTCCCTAAAATGGGGTCAAATGGTCAAACAATGCAAGGAATAGGATGTGTCACAGTGCTATTTAGAGCACAAACGAATACAGAATGCCCTAAAATGAATATAATCCCATCACTGATATGGATGTGGACCAGTCCCAACCACCACCAGCTGCTAATGAATAAACATGACCAGCAGTGCCCTTCTGCCATTTACATAGTCCAAACAGGTCAGTCTGCACAAGAGGGCAAATGGATACAACTTAGAT